AATGAAAAGTTTAACTAACCTTACCTCTCATTACATAGGAGGGATGTTATGTGTAAGAATGAAATGCTGCAATTTCGTGAATTTACTGCCATAAGCATTCCTAGAGTTTTTTTGTTCTTTCACAAGCCATAGTCAATGTCTTGATTAGAAATGCTGAGTCTGCTTTGGAGTCTTCTATTTAGATTTAAAGACGAAAATTAAATGACAAAATATGTTATCTGATTTAGAAACCTAGAGAAACTCATATAGACAGATGGTAAGGCACAATCAAAAGATTTGCAGTTCATTAATATCTGGACAATCAACCAACAAATAGTGGAGAAACCAAATGCATTTTACTTTTGCTTTCTTTCCTGGCAATTACTTTCATCTATCTGACTAAATACTCGTGCTCTGCCTATTTACATTTTTGTTGTATGATTTGCAGCTTCTTTACCTGCAATGCTTGTAAAACTTGGTGGTGGTTTAGATGTTTTTTCTTTGTTTTAACAAAAAAAAGTGAATTATTTTTTGATATTTGTACTTACTCTTATGCTTCCGTGAATTTCTGGGATTGGATTTTACAAATTAGAGATAATCTCAGGGGATTGAACCATGAGTTGCTTTGGCTGTTGCGAAGAGAATGACATCCACAAAACTGCTGATAATGGAGGTCCATACATGGTTAAAAATTCAGCAGGTAATCTTGTGGTTGAAATTCACATCCAGGCTGATAACATTGCACTTTTGTAAATTTCTTTTGGATATTTCTGCATGATCAATATCATGAACTAGTTGAATGAGTCAGGCAAGGTAGGAAGGCATAAACTCCTTTGGTGATTATGCCCATAGTCAGTTGGATTTTAACTGTAACTTGTTTATTAGTTTTATTTCTATGCTTTTAAATTTTTATTAGCAGGATATATATCTGCTATTCTCTTTCCCACCTAATTTATTTTACTGCTTGTTACATGTTTATTCCAATCTTTTCTTTTGCATGCTATGGTTGGCCATACTTTGTGTTGGCTGTACTGAATCTATTGGTGTAATTTGGGTTGAATTTGACCACTCAGGAAATGATGGAGGTTACCATACATCTGAAACTGCATCAAAGAGTGCTCAGACTGTGAAGGTTCAGCCTATTGAAGTCCCTGCTATTCCAGCAGATGAATTGAAGGAAATCACAGATAACTTTGGTACAAATTCTTTGATTGGAGAAGGTTCATATGGTAGAGTCTATTATGGAGTTCTTAAAAGTGGGCAGGCTGCAGCAATCAAAAAGTTAGATGCCAGCAAGCAACCCGATGATGAGTTTTTAGCCCAGGTTTAGTTAACAGCTAAAATTCATTGCATTTACTGCACTAGATACTAATTTAGAGTTTTAGATTTATGGCCATCGATGCATGGATTTTCAGGTTTCCATGGTATCAAGGTTGAAGCATGAAAACTTTGTTCAATTGCTTGGTTACTGTGTTGATGGGAGCTCCCGTATACTTGCCTACGAGTTTGCATCTAATGGATCACTGCATGATATTCTCCATGGTATGTGTGATGAGGCTTCATTCATTGCTTCAGTTGTACAAAGTTGAAAACCATTGAGGAGTGCAACAATGCTTGAAGCAAGGATCTCTTAGTGATGCTATCATAAAATTGAATTATAAAGTTTCTTTTTCTGTTGGAAACAAAATCTCTGGTTTGTAATATTTACATGTCGTGCTGTTAATATTGCAAGATTATTATTATTTTAATGCAGGGAGAAAAGGTGTTAAGGGAGCTCAGCCAGGCCCTGTTCTGACGTGGGCACAAAGAGTAAAAATTGCTGTAGGAGCTGCAAAAGGGCTTGAATACTTGCATGAGAAGGCTGATCCTCACATCATTCATCGTGACATTAAGTCCAGCAATGTGCTGATATTTGATGATGATGTTGCAAAGATTGCAGACTTTGATTTATCTAATCAGGCTCCTGATATGGCAGCTCGCCTTCATTCCACTCGTGTACTTGGAACCTTTGGTTATCATGCTCCTGAGTAAGTAATTTGTGGATTCTTTTCATCCTACCATATATATATATATATATATTTTTTTTTTTCAAAGATCATTTTGGTTGTTGATTATATTTGGCTTTATACGAACTTAGTTGCTGAACTACCTATGATGTAAAATTATATGAATCAATCACGATTTGCTCTTTGAAACCTAAAATAGAGTAGTTTTTCATTTGATTACTGAGATTTTTGAGGGAACAAGTATATGTTTAATATCCTAAATTTCTCTTCTATATAGCTTCATTTCAGATTGAATGCCTTGAATGTTTGCTGTTTGTTCTTGTGGTTGGCAGATATGCAATGACTGGTCAGTTAAATGCCAAGAGTGATGTATACAGCTTTGGTGTTGTGCTTCTTGAGCTTCTCACTGGGAGAAAACCTGTTGATCATACTTTACCCCGTGGACAGCAAAGTCTTGTAACATGGGTACTTTTCTGATACTTATCTTCATATATGCAGCCTGTGTTTCATGGTTAAACTTCTCAGACATGGCTGATTAATGAATTTTGAATTGTGTTAGGCTACACCAAAGCTTAGTGAAGACAAGGTTAAGCAGTGTGTTGATCAAAGACTAGGAGGAGAGTATCCTCCCAAGGCTGTTGCAAAGGTATTAATATGCTTGGTTGCTCCTGGTAATGTCAGTTTTTATTAGCACATTTTGCTGGTATTCTTATTCGCTAGAAAGAAGAAAGAGGTGGCACGCATGTGTACATCCATTATCAAAATGTTATTCTAGATGTCCCCATTTTTTTAAAGTAATTTTTAAGCTTTAAGAAAAAGTATAATACAGAAACAGTATGATGCAAGGCTAGATGAGAAAAGATGTTATGTGACTGCAACATAGAGGTGTTTGTGTGTACAAGGAGTCAGTTTCTTTTTGGCTAATTGACATCTCCCAGTAGGAGTGGGGAGAGTAGTACAAGTAATGACTAATTTGCCAGCGAGGTGAATCAGAAAAAAAAAAGAAAAATGAAAAAAAGGAGAACTGGAAAAATAAACTCTTTTGGATATCCTCTCCAGCTCCTCTCAAATACAACATTGGTTTAAACCTTAAACATATCTTGGCTTGACATACCAAGACTCGTGCCCTCACTGAATGTCAATGTCATCCGTGCCTAAAGCATTTTATTTTTTGATTGCAGATGGCAGCTGTTGCTGCATTGTGTGTGCAATACGAAGCTGATTTTCGGCCAAACATGAGCATCGTTGTCAAAGCTCTTCAGCCCCTGTTAAATGCTCGACCTGGACCTGCTGGTGAAACACCAAGCACATAACTTTACATCTCTCTCTCTCTCTCTTACACACACACACACAAATCCCCCTCCCTTTCTATCTATGTGTCCTTGTGTGTGTGAAAGTGTTCACACATTCAAGCAATCCAAAATATATAATGAGGGGACAATTTTAGAAGGTGATGATAATTTGTTTTTTCAAAGTTCCATATGCACCCATTATAAACTGTGTATTCGATTTGTTGATAATGTGTGAGATTGTTTTTTTCTTGCATATAAGTTGATGGTCTTCTTACTTGCATCTTTTTCTATATTTAGTCTTAAATCTTTCTTCCTTCCATGAAATGACTATCTTTTCCTTTTCTCACAAATGGTTATGCACCTTTAATTGCTTCGATTACAAGAAATCACCAAGAAAAAAGGAAAATATGCCATTTGACATATAGAAACTTGTTTCTTCGGTCACGTAGAAAATCTTATGCGTTGATCGGCATTTGAAGAAACTAAGAAAAACTTTTTTTCTTATGCGAGGAATAATGATGTACAAAGCAAACTTTACAGATGGAAAGGGTGGATATGGACAGAGACCCCAATGCTTGAACATTTAAAAAAGAATAATGGGATTCGTTGGCTTTTGGTCTGGTTTTCCCTTCTTAGTAGGTCATCGACAACCCAACTTTACTAACAGTTAATTATTAAAGTTGAGTTGATGGAAATACAAGGACCGGGCTAGGATGTTGACGAGTAATTACAAAGCTCTCCTTGGGCCGGCGATTAATTTAAATCTTAATCCTTAGCTGAGTTGGTGAACAATTGAACCTTTTTTATATTAATAGTTTATGAGAAATTATCAGCAAAAATTGTTAATTTTATTTATAAAATTAACAGAATAGCATATATTTTTTAGTATATATTAAAAAAATAAAAATTAATTTTAAAAAATAAAATGTGTCACTAATAATGCTGTAAATCCTTAACTAGTGCAGTGTAGGAATATTATTAAGAGTTGGGAGATATTGGGAACATTGCAAAAACAGTTCCAAGGTAAATTGACTTGGATGGGTTTGTGGAAATTGACTGAAAATTTTAATAGTCATTGGTTTCATGATTTGCTTCTTTACTTGGCTGGCATATTTATGTTTTTTTTATTAAATTCCTAACATTAAAATGAAAATAAAAATACTAGCTTTTTGTTAGGTCAAGACACAAGTGATAAGAGAGGCAAAAAGAAAAAAAAAAGTCCAAAAAGAAAAAGAAGACAGTTTAAAAGACGAAGTTTCTTCGCAAGATCGAAGCGATGAATAAATAAATATTAGTACTATACACATATATATATATATATATATATTTTAAAGAATAAAAGTTAAAAGAAAAGAAAATATAGATAGAAGACGAGATAGTCCGTGTCCCTCGCCCCACGTTTCGGTGCTTTAAATTTCAACGAACTCGTGCATTAAGCTCTGTTTTTATTTTTTTTAAGAATCAGTGTTTTTTTTTTTTAATTTTTAATTTTTCTTTAAATTTTGTTCACTTTTAAATTTATAATTTTTAAATATTAATTTTAATAATATATTAATTGATATGAGATATATTTGATCAGATTCTGTGTTAATTAAAAAAAAAAACTTAATGCCCCGTTGACAGTACATGTATTCCAAATCTGTCCCCCAATTTACGCGTCAAATTTGCGTAAATGGAGGGTTAGAATAGTAAATCCACGAAATCCCATCTATATATGGTCCTCTGATCCAGCCACCGGAGTTGAATCCTGTCAGTTATATCTCTACTCCCTACGACTACAGGCACTAAGCCTAACTCCTAACCCCACTCCGAAGAATAAAAGAAGCTTAAGAAAAAAAAAAAAAAAGAAGCCGTAAGGAGAGCAAAGCAAAGAATCAAAGCTAAATTCGTTAGATTCCATCCTGCGCCTAACTACTTTTATCATTCTAGCGTGCGCCACACATGGGAGGAGATGTAACCGGAGCCATCACCACCGCCGTCGCCACCACGGCAGCCCCACCCTACGGTGGAGGCCCGGCTGAACCTCAGTACGTTTCGGCGAAGACATCGGTTTGGTGGGACATAGAGAACTGCCAGGTCCCCAAAAACTGCGACCCACACGCGATCGCGCAAAACATTAGTTCGGCGCTGGTTAAGATGAACTACTGTGGGCCCGTTTCTATCTCCGCCTACGGCGACACCAATCGGATTCCTTCTTCTGTACAGCAGGCGCTTTCAAGCACCGGCATCGCACTCAATCATGTCCCCGCCGGTAACCTAATCAAAATCCCTAACTTCCTTTATTAATAATTATAGTAAATCAAGCTTGAATAATTTTTTTTTAGTGTGTTAATGCAACGATTGTGAGGCGTTACGGTGATCTTCTATAAATTAGTTTTTTTTTTTTAATCTTTAAAACTGGTTTACTATGCCCTGATCTAGGGTTTTAACTTTTTATCTTGAAGTTAAAATTAAGATTAAGATGTTATATATAAAAAAAAAGGTTGTTGATTGAGGTTTATATGTGAGCAGGTGTGAAAGATGCGAGTGATAAGAAGATTCTAGTTGATATGCTGTTTTGGGCAGTAGATAATCCTGCTCCTGCGAATTATCTGTTGATTTCTGGGGATAGGGATTTTTCCAATGCGCTCCATCAGTTACGCATGAGAAGATATAATATTCTTTTGGCGCAGCCTCTGAAGGCTTCCGCACCCCTTGTTGCTGCGGCCAAGAGTGTATGGCTTTGGATGAGTCTTTCCGCTGGTGGCCCTCCTCTTTCAAGTGGTGAATCGACTAAACTTGCTAATGGTCACAATAGTTTTAACTCTGAAATGTTGTATAACCCGATTCCTGAAATGGTTCAGTATAGTCAACCAATGGTTTTTAGTTCTGAAAATGTTACATTGGGGAATCAAAATGTTTCTAATGCTGGAAGGAATGGTGATAACAAATATAAAGGGAAATATATGAGGAAAGCCCCTAATCAGCCAAGCATATCAAGAGCCTCTAGCGAGCCAACAACTACCATTCAAGAAAATATGAACAATGGATACTCTTACCAGCCAGAGTATGCACAGGCAAAGTCGTTTAAGAAAGCACCACATGAGTTTTTTGGTGGCTGTGAGCCTGCTGTCTCTGCAAGCAAGTCTACTCCAAACTTCTTTCCTAGCAATCCTGACCCATCAGGGAGTAACAATGGTAATTTCATGGGCATTCATCAGAATCTTCATCCTCTTTCATTGAGGCCAAATAACATACCTCTGCAACCAGCTTTTGCACAAGATAATTTGCTACCACCAAATTCACAAAATCATGGTTTCCGCCCAATGCCTCCTAGAATGGAGGCACCTAGATTTCCGGCCCCACTCTCAAATCTGCCTGATATGGGTAAGTTAAATATCTCTAAGCACTCTACCTATACTCAAAATCCTTCTAATTTTCCTCATCGAATTGGAGAAGAGTTTAAAACAAGCTCTATCGAGTCATTGCCTAATCAAGCTGGCCTAAATGTACCACAAAAGAGCCATGTGTTGCACAGTAGCCAAGCAAGTCAGCACGATACTTTTAGTAATAGGTATCCACGCGGTCCTGAATTTCCACCACCATCATCCACAGCAATTTCTAGTTCTCTTAGCAATGGCATTTGGGGAGCTCAAGGACGCTCACCACCTTCTGAATATGTGCAAGGTCTTATTGGTGTTATCTTACTTGCATTAAACACACTCAAAACTGAAAAGATTATGCCTACTGAAGCAAACATTACTGATTGCATTCGTTACGGAGATCCAAAACACCGCAATACTGATGTAAGGAAGGCTTTGGATAGTGCAGTTGAGCAACATATGGTATTGAAGCAAAGTTTAGGTGCAGTGCAGTTGTATGTTGGTAGAAATGAGAAACTATGGAAGTGTGTCAATCCTATTGGTGGGAATCCTAATCAGTTCCCAAAGACAACGTGGGATGGAATACAGAAGTTTTTATCATCCCCTGAGGGACGATCAGCAATGATGGCTTCTCAATGCAGGTAATGATAAGCTTGATGATCTTGTCCTTTTTGTCTCTCTTGTTTTCCCTTTTTTTTAATTGATGCTAGGTTTTGTTGGGGGATTCCCTTAGCTTAAGTTTGGTATCAACTCTGCAGATATGAAGCAGCTTTGGCTTTAAGAAAAGAATGCTTGGAAGAATTTGCTTTAGGTGATGCTCTCCAGATCTTGAATATGATAATTGCCATGAAGAAATGGATTATACATCATCAGTCAGGATGGCAACCAATTACAATTACCCTTCCAGAGACTAAAACAGAAATGGGTACTGGAACCGCTGCTTGACCTGATCAAGAGTGGTTTTGATACTGAAAGTGGTCCTAATGTGGTGAAAGATGGTAAGAATTGTCTGCTGAATTAAGGTTAAGAAACAAGGGTCACTTTGGCAAAAAAAAAAAAAAATCATCAAGTTTCAAGAAAACTATTGGCGGACTATGATTTCTGGCTCATGACAAAAGTAGGAATAGGTCATTTTCTTTTCATGTTTTTGTTTTGTTTTTCCTTTTACCTTTATTTGCTGTGAGACTATAATTGGAAGCTGCAGAAGGGGAAAAAAATCCTAAGTGAAGATGGATTTAGACTGGAAATTATCTGGATCAGGGGCAGAGTTAAGTAATAAGTTCATTCTCTGCGTTCATGTGGATTTGGTATATTACAAGCTATCCCTAATATGATTGGTTGTTGCTGGTATTGCTTAATTAGTTATATGCTAATTTCTTCTCTCCGGCACAATATATTCAGAATTTTACTGTTTGGGATAGAGGTAATCTTTTTGTTTCAGCGGATAAGTCCATGTTGCTTTGTGAGCTTGGGTCTAGTTTCTGCATGTAAATACTGTCTGCAGTATCTCCATCATCAGAATATTATGGAATCTTTTGAAGATGTTGGTGAGGCTTCCAGATCCTGTTGGACAGGTTCTTGGTCTGTTGATTGCATAATGGGGTTTAATAGTGATGATAGGACAAAAGTGGCAAAGATTGAAGGCAACTATAGACGTTATGAAAGCTTTCGAAGTATTTGGAGGTTGCTATGCGCTTGGCAATCAATACATATCATGGAAGTTCTAATAGGGAGCCTTATTCCTGGCAATACAGTGTAAGTATTTTAAAGCATTTATGTGCCATGGAGTACATGGCCATAACTATCAACTTAAGTGAATGTATTAGCTTGAACTTTGTGTTGTTTACACTTTGGAAATGGTGATATCCTCTATTCCATTTAGTACATACTTGAAAATGTTTTATGTTGAAGTTAAACTTGGTTTGGCTAGTAGACTAGTAGCTATCTATTATATTCCAGGAGATCCCATATTTGATCTTGTAATTTCTGCATTGGGTCAACTCTTGATATATTTTTTGGTGCTAAACAGTTGGCGGTTGCATAAATTACCATCAGGGGGGATTCCCTATGTTCCAGATTTAGTTCCAAACCAGAGCATAGAAATTACCTTGGTGAGATTTGGTCATACTTGAGCTAAATGTATTAGGTCCTTGGACCCATTAAACTTTCGTTTTTCCATTTATTGAGTCGGTTCCTCTGAAGTTTGCGCTGGTCTCGTCCGTCGCTTTTTTTTTAAATACTTGCAAAAGGCGTTTGCCAGCTGCCAGTTGGGCGATGCAATTCCCCGCATCAATCAGGGCGTTGGAGATGACTTTGACAATTAATAGAAGAATGACCATTGACTTCGACAATCAAACGTTTTTCCGCGGATTCAGTTTCAGTCAACCTTAATGGCTGCTGCCAGGGCTATGAATTCTGATAATTAATCTGGTTCGCGTAAAAATCTTTCAGGATATAGACGCACCGTGCGAGTTTATTTAATCAGATATCTTATTATGGACCTATTTTGTCGATATAAAACACAAAAATTGGCAATATGATAGCTTATTCTAATACTGCCGTTGACATTTCCCTCGGTATTGCGATCTATCAGAGAACCGATAAAGATCAATCAATGTCCAGGCGAAGATTAAATCGGCGTACACTCTTGAGCCATTTGCAACAGAGAAAAGGATGTCATTCTTTCATCTAAATATGCCCTTGATGCGAACTTCTCAATACCAAAAGTAATACTAAGCTTTTAGCATAATTTCTAAATTTTCAACTACTTGGTGCACAAAAAGAGCTACCGAAATCAGATAATTGGATGCATGTACATAGGAAATTGGCTCACGATACATTTTTTGCATGTTTTTGAACAGCTTAAGGTCAAGGTATACTTGACATTTGTAACATATACTTAAAGCACACCCAATTCAGACTACGGCTCGCATTTATTGAAGCTTTCCACATTGATATCACATCAAAAAACAGCATAACTCATGGAAGGAATGGATTGTGAGAAGGACATGCCTCTTTTTGCTTTCTATAAGCTCTGAGAAGATGAAAACACAGACTATTTAGACCCTAAAATGTAATATTCAGCCAAAAAGAAAAAGTGACTATCCTAATCATGCTGCTGCTGGCTACCTGGTAGCATTTAATCCCCCAAGTCCAATAGTTCCCAGAACAATAAGAAGGAAGGGAATCTGAATCAAAGCACGATTTCTTCTTCCCCCATGAGCCTTTGGTACTCCCGTTCTCACAACGTGTGAATGTATAGCTAAAGAAGAAAGACAATGTCTAAATAGCAAATTAAAAAAATATATAGTTACTAATGCTTTCGAAAAAGAAATTACCTGAAAGTGAGCCTTTCCCTTCCGTACCTGTGATAATCATAACGTGGAATTTCAATAGCATGTAAAGATAATTGTTATTGCTATGTTTTCACTCCTCTAATGTAATTATTAAGAAGATTTAAGGATCCCAATCAGGTTTGCAAACTCAATTCTACAAGTTATGTTCAAGAATAATTGCATCTACGACTGTGTGATTAATTTTTAACCAGTTTCTGACCAGTACATCTGACTCATTGGATACAATCTTATCTAGTGGGAATCTAGTATTAAGGACAAAAGATGATACTATAAAAAGTAGATGAAAAAAAAAAGGCTTAAAGTTGAAAGTAAATGCTATAATATATAAAACAGAGAAATGTTATCATTGAAATGACACCAATTTAATAAATTTAATCCAAAACTAGCAACCCATCAGGTACTAAGAGAAGAAAAAATGGGTGCAGTGAGGATGCAAAAAGACACTATAGGTTAGGTAGTACCAATTGTGGTGATTGATGCAGACACAGATGAGCTCACCCACTAGATCCAATCCCATCTAGTGGAAATTTAAGATTTAGGATAACAGATGACTAACCTATAAAAGGTTAATGAAAAAAAGAGGTGAAAAGTTTAAAGGCAATGCTGTGATATATCAACCAGAGCAATTACCATTAACAGGATAACACAAGTTTGTAAATCCAAAATTCCAACCAATCAAGTACCAAAGGATGAAAAATAAAATGGGCAACCATAATGAGGCAAAGAAGAAGTATAAGCTAGATATAGTACCAATTGCGGTGACTGATGCAGACAGATGCACTCACCTACTAAAGCATTGGCGTCAAAAGAGAAGTAAAATTGAAATAATGTTGGTGACACATTAATACCTTCATAATGATATATGGCACAACAAATTCCTTTACAATATAAGAATTGGTCTTTGGCAACATCAAATTACTTCTTTTATCAATATCCAGTTACTGGAAATAGGTATCTCATGGCTTACTCCAAGTTTGATGAGCTACATTGTAGATAAACTAATCCGTCAAATCATCACCAAGAAAATCGAGACCATCATCATCAGTGGTAACACCTCCAGCAGCAGGATTAACATCCAATGGTTCAATCAAACCAGCTATTGTAACCATTTCTGTAGGTCTCTTTTCTTCACTCTCATGTTCATCCATATCATCTCCATAAAATTGTTCCACCTCATTATAAATGATCTCCTAAATCAAGAAAGACAATTCGGGAATAGCATTAAAAATTGGCAATTATTCAAATTAAAATACAAAGTTATTTCTCAAGACCCAAGTTAATGAAAACAATTTAAATGGGAATGAAAGGTACCTCATCTTCTTGGATGGCTTGCTTCTCTGATTCCACAAGCCAGTCATCTAATACACTTTCTAACGTGGCACTGTCAAAGGAAACCAACTCTTCAGGCTTCCTTCCTAGTTGGCGTTCTCTCAGTCGCAAGTTGTAGTGAACATAGGTATGGTCATTCAATCTCTTCCGAGACAAACAGTTGCGTCTTTTGCTGTGAACCTGATCAAATGCACTCCAGGTATGCTCACATCCGATTGATGAACATGTCTGGCTTAGTATATGCACGGCAATTCGTTGCAGCTCTAAGCAACTTATCCCATGTTGTTGCCACCATGATGCTAATGATGAAACAATGATTAGCCAAAAATTTCAACTGACATGAATTTTGCACGAAAATATTGAAAAAAAGAAATTGAATTTATCAAATAAAAGTCTTTGAGAAAACAGGGCTGTGCATAAAATCCTGGTTGAATACCTGGATCAAGCTCGCTTCTAGTACTTATGGCCAAATCAGTTCCAAAATCAGCTTTAGCTGACACAAAATCAGTTATCTGATAAATGAAATCAAAGCATCAGCAGGAAAAAAAAAAGAAAAAAAAAGAAACATCCATAGTCATATAAAGATAAGAGAGCCAGTTGGCTGCTTTCACAGCCATTGATGCAGCTTCATGGATAATTTGATCTTGAAAAACACAAGCAACCAGTTCGTTTCGGATATGTCATCGATTATCTTACTAGATGTAAAATGTAGCAGAAATGAGAAACCATTACCTGCATGGATGCAGTAATCCTTTTCCCACCGTCTGCCTCCAATCGAACAATACACTCATTTAGACCACGAATTACTTCAGGGTTCTTCAGTGACACAAAAATAATTGAAATTAAGCAAGGAAGATACAGGCAATCAGGAAAAGATAAAGGTCAAGGCACTGTATTTGTAGTTTTGTACCATCAAAAAATCTGGGCGGTACCGGTAGGATGGATTCAGAAAGTATGCAGCAACATAAAGAGGATGATGGAACAATGAACTCCAATTACTGTCAATCACACTCCAAAAAGGTCCATATTTACGCATATCATCACCATGAATAGCTTTAATTGCAAGCTTTGTTCTACACATGTCATAATATATAAATGGCATTGATCGGATTTCGTCACTAACTATCTTTTGAAGAACTTCAGCAACTGGTTCTAAGGATTTCTTCACATACTGCATTTTCTTCCAAAATGTGACATTTAAGACAATTTTTTCAACCTCTTTACCTTCATCTAATTTGGAAAAGCGGGACGAAAGCCATCTATTGGATTGGAACATTCTCTTAAGACCAACTCTCAGGTCCAACAAGCTCTGTAAAGTGAAAAAATTAGTGCAAAACTTTGTGACAGCTGGCTTAAGAAGTTCCTGTCCTGGTCGTAAATTTCTTTCTCAATAAATTCAGCAACCACGGTATCTGTTATAATTAAACCTAGTCACCTTTTATTGCTTTATGTATGCATTCTCCCAACCCACTTTATATTCACAAAATCCTCAAGCATTCTATCAATACAATGCACAACAAAGGCATCCCATATAAATTTCTCCTTTTTCTCCTTCAAGCATCTTTCCAGGCATTCCTGACACTTGAAGTTGTTCCCTAGTGATCACCTGCAACGAAAGTTATGAGGGAACAGCTCAGAAAGGATGCAACACCACACATATAAAAGTAGATTTCCACAGAGAACCCAAAGTAAAGATTTAACCTGGACTAATAATTCCTCGCCAACTCATCCACGCTTTGTTACACTTGAAGAGATTAGCTGCATCTTCTATCATATCAGTTGCATCAACAGAAGAGAGAAATAAGACACGAGCAGATACAAAAATTAATCGGTCTTGTGCATCATTCAACATGTCAGCCAGGACAGAACAACATAATTGCATAGAGCTTAAATCCACTATATATCTCACTTAATATTAAATTCTTCCGGAAGGAAACGAAGATTTCAGTCGACTTGAAGGACCTTGTAAGCCTTGCCCATACTGACCAACCAGTTCCAGCATTTTATGGAAATAAGGAGAGTTTGCTGCATTAGAAGGAATTCCAGCATGATAAAAGAATTTGCAGATAGCAGATATAACTTCCCTGCGAGTTCTCCTCTCAAGCCCTATTTTTGTTCTTGTTTGTTTGTAAAGCACTGATGTCTGGCTTTTCAGTGACTTTAAAAATACTGAATCCAGTCTTGATCGCTTAAGTTGTGGTTCAGCACCATTACCACTACTACCAGGAGATCTACCTCTGACATTATTTCTAATATCACTATCAGAAGCTTTATCATCAATAGCCAATATATCCTTACTGATACATTGCAAATACCCGTCCTCCTCTCCACCTTCGTCCTCGTTATCTGAATGCAAGTAGAATGTGGATATCTCCTTGGTATCAGGTTTTCGATGCCTTCTGCCAGTTCGGTGCCATTTCATGTTTTCTTTCATTTTGAGATATACCTCCTCAGGTGCCTTCTCACAAGATGCAACTTCTCCAGGGATCCTAGCAAGATGTTGCTTAAAACGATTTATGCCCCCACTTATTATTTTTTCACAATAGTTGCATTTTACTCTTTTCTTTTTCTCATCTTGAGCAACACAATGTTCCCATCCTGGGTCCACGTATCCTAATGATCGAAGAGGGGTAAACTTGATAATCAAGTTCTTGTCACCCATCACTTTCTTGCCTTTGTGTTTATAACCTGCAGATGCTTCTTCTCCATCATTGTACTCATTAGATTGGAAATTTAGAGTGGCCTGCTCATACTCTGATTGCCTTCGTTTTCGACCAGAACGGCATCCTTCCAGGTTTTTTCTCATATTCAAGCATACTTCTTCAGGAACCTTTTCACAGTGAGTAACTTCTCCAGACAATCTGGCTAAATGTTGCTTTAACCTGAATATTCCACCACTGACTATTTTCCCACAGTAGTTACATTTAACCTTCTTTTTCCTTTCATCTTGAGCAATACCATGCTGCCATCCAGGGTCAACATATCCTGTGGACCGAAGTGGGGCCATCCCTTCAATCATTTGGTAAGTAGCTCAAGAGCAGAAACTTTATATCATGAGGCTGTTCCTGATTGAATCAAAAAGTTGAAATAAATAGAAGTAAATGGAAAATTTTAAAATCAGCACACTAGAATTAAATTTAAGCCATACAGTGAATTTGCCATTTTGAAACACTGGAAATCCCTTTCTAACTGCAAGTCTCCTGTTGCATATCCCTCAAAGATTGAGCTCACTTGCCTTTATTCCTCAAAACCATTTCACAAGTCCATAAAGCAAGCCTGAGCTAATTATCAAAACTTAAGTAACAGGTGATTTGGGAACCAACGAGGCAGGCAATACAAAAAGAAACATATAAAAATTCCCTTAGATGCACCAAAAGAGATAAATACACCAATCCAAGTCATTTTGACATCCAGAGGAGACACCATAAAGTGGCAAGAAGGTATAATCTATTGCTTCCTAAGTTTAGACCACAAGCTATTATGTCTTCATTAAATGTGCTACCTTTGGAGAATATTAAACAAGAAATTTCTTCCCATGACAGAATGTATAGCCTATTTGAGAGTTTGCAAACCATGATTTCTTGGAATACTCTTAAAATTTTCTCAAAAGTATATGAAGTTAGGAGAATTACCAGACTGTAGACAAGTGTAAGCTTCTGTAATCTGCAGAAAATGCAAATCTACAAGTTGAAATTCTCACAACCATAAATGCAATTGAATTATTTTTAAATTGCAGAATACATGATAGAAAATATTCACACTATAATCTCATTTTACTGTTCCTGGAAGAAGGAAGAATGTTATGATCAGGCAACACATGAACTAAACTAAATGGAAAGACAGAATCTTCATACTACATTGGTTACTTGTGTTCACAGGTATGTTGGCTCTTATCAAGAATGGCAACCTTCATAATACATACGATATTTGAGACAGTAAATGGCTCAAAAAGCCCATTCAATGAACAAAGTTCCCCACTTAGCTTCTATATAAAAGGGCATTAAACACTGATGCCAGTCTAGAGTGAGTAATATGTTTCTTTGATGCTGAGAAAACTAATTCCAATTAAAAGCTACTATTTGAAGACTAATCCTAGCCTTTAACAGGTAAATTTTAGTCAGATTTTGACATGTTAAACAGTTATAAATCCAAAAAAATTGATAAATACAAGAAATCCAAATTCTCACCAGAACATTCTAATAATCAACTTGCCACGAATTTTTAAAAAAGATGCAAATCCCATGCATCCACTCCCCATAATTTAAACTCATTAAATTGCCAACATACCTAAGCTTAAAATTGTCACTGCTTGTTTGTACAAGCTTTAAAATGCTAATTATATCAACACTGTCTAACTGTTCTTTTGATTCCCTAACAAATGTGCACAATAAGTAAACATACCAAGCAGTTTTTGTTTACCACTAATTCAATATTAAAGACGGCCAAAAGGTCTTCCACTCAGAATCAAGCATATAAAAAAAAGATTCAAATGTCTAAAGGAAAATCAAATGTCTAAAGCACTCAAATCACTCTACGCTTAAATTGTAAAAATGCTTTGTTTGTTCAAATCAACCTCTAAAATGCTTAAACTTATCTCAACATGCTCCAACTGTTCCTTTTCAATTCCCTACAAAGTGTGCCACTAATAAGCTAAAACCAATACAACAAGCAGATTTTTGGTTTACAAACCTAATTCAATATTCAAAGACGGCACAAAAGGTCTTGTGCACTCCAATCAAAGCATATAAAAAAAAGGATCAAATGTCTAAAGGAAAATCGATGCTCACCAACTTGAACTTAGACTCCGCCGAAGGCTTTTCGTGAACAGGAAACAAGTCAGGATGTGACTCCCATACTTTCTTTCTATAAGCTGCTTTAACCTAACCGAATCAAAATTCATAAAATAAATAAATAAATTTACAACTTCATAAACTAAAAAAAAAAAAGAAATCGAGGAAATTTGTTAGTCTAGCCGATTAAAAGAAAGCAATCAAAGCTACAATCTCCAGAAGGAAAACAACTCAAATTCATAAATTTCAATCCAAGTCAACAACAACAAAATTGGGTAAAAAACCCTAAAAACCAAGATTTAAGAGCGACGTAAAAGGTATAAAAGAATGATAATAAAAATTAAAAAAAAAAAAAACACCTGAGATGGAGTAGGGCGGGAATTGGGTGGGAAACCTAGCAAGAGTCTGGCTTCATCACCCTGCATTTCTGTAAATTGGTGGGGCTGAGTCGCCTCATGATTTTAGCTTCCGTTGTTCTTTAAGTTTTTTTTTTTTTTTTAATTTTATATTAATATTAGGAAAGTTTTTGGGTGTGAAACGCTCGGATATTTTACAGGTGTCGGATAGCTAAAGGACGGCCATCAAGTTCCTGATCATGGAGGAGATGGAAATTCCAATCTGATGTGATGTATATTACACATCAGAAACTTCGAATCTACTTTTACTGTTGATTGATCTAAGTGGTGGACTAATTGGCATGTGATGTGCTCCACTTGCTCACTATTTTCTGAAACGTTTCCGTTTTAACCTTTTTCTCAACCGTAGGTTTTTTTAGACTTTTGAGCTTGTCATATTATATTCTAAAGAATTTAACTTTTTATATTAAAAAAATACATTTGCCATTGAAATGATTGCAAAGTTTTTTAAACCTCTTCGTTGTAAACATAGAACAACAAAACAAGTTTAAGAATAAGTTTTTTATTTTAATTTAATATGTATAAAAATTTGATTCAATAATGATACTAATTTTTTATTTTAGTTTATAAACCTGGATTGAAATTTTCTTTTTCAAAAACTATATTATAAAATAACTACACTTTCATTGGGCTCTGAAGTCTGAATTTCTGGATCTCTAACTGTAATCCAATCATACATCAGGCATGGGCCCTTAATTTCCAAAACTTAAACGGCCTTTCAGGGTTTCTTCAACTCGCCTGATCGTTATATGGCCCTGGCCCTGGCCCTGCTTGCAAATTTCAAGTTCCAACGCCGGAAGGCGGAAAAAAGTTCGCAACTCGCAAGAACTTGGCAAGGCAGGCAATTCTTCCACCAAGGCTGAAGAACAAACAGAGCTGCAAAGTAAAGAAGAAAAGAAATAATAATGAGGAGACTCAGTCGAGGGTTTATTCGGTGCATCAATTCATTGAGGCAACTTCAAATAGGGAATTCCAATCCCATTCCTCGTAATCAAAGATCGTTTCTTCTACCCCAAATTGCCAACATTTCCTTTTCTTTTTCTTTTTCTCGCTATTATTCCAACGGTGAGGCTTTTTAAATCTTAGTTTCTGTTTCAGGAAAAAATAAATGAAAATTTAGCTTTTTGTTTTCGAGTTATTGAAACAATATTTTCGTAATGGGCAGAGCTGCAACCTCAGCTTTCAACCGACCTTCTTAAAATCATGGAACAAAGATTATCCGCTATAGAGCATAGGAGTGCTTTTCTTGAGAATCTAATAAACCAGGTAATATTTTTTAACTACTTTTTCTTTTTATGTTTCTAATTAATTGTGTTTTGAATTTGTTGTTTTAATTGAGCTTGTTGGTGTTGATTGAAGACAGCCAGAAGCCTCACCAGCAGACTATTCAAAGGCTAACAAAGAGCTTCGAAAACTTAGGGACTCAATGGATCTTATCAATGATTTGAGAACCAAACAGAAGGTAGATTTTTTGTCTTCATTTTCTGTCTTTTACTAATTCTGTCTCCCAATTTATTGTCCGAGTGGATGAATGAACTTTGTGTCTACCTTGGCTGATGGTATCATGTATCTTGTTTACTTCAGTAGCTTTCCTAATTAACCCTACAGCTAAGTTGGTGTGTGTTGATAATATAGTATATACTATCGGTATCTTTGTCTGTTATCCTAATGCTTTATATAGTTGCTATTATTATGTGATTTTGTCCAATGAGGATGCTGTTTTAGGCTTTTCTTTTTTTCTTTTTATGTAGGAGATTGATGGTTTGAGGTCATTGATGGCTGAATGCCCTGATGATAAGGACATGCTTGATATGGCTACTGAGGATCTGGGTAAGGCTTTGGAAGAAGTGAGAAGACTGCAGAACTTGCTGCTCAAGTCATTGCTTCCTAGGGATGATGCTGACAAGAGGGACTGCATTTTGGAGGTGAGAGCAGGTAAAAACTGTATGTTGAGATGAGCACTTGACATGGATGTTTTGTTGATTATTTTTTCCCACTTTTTATTATTGAACTTGACAAAAAGTTTGGTCAGGAACTGGTGGAGAGGAGGCTTCTTTGTTTGCAATGGATGTGTTTAAAATGTAAGTCAATACTTGGTACAACATGGATTGGTCTGTCCATGAATCACGGATTTTGTTTGTAAGCTGCTCATCTGAGAATTGTTTCCTTGCTTGGGTTACAACAGGTATGAGAGGTACTCACAGAAGAAGGGTTGGAAGTTCGATGTGGTAGATATAGCAGAGTCTGATCTGAAAGGATATAAGGTATGTGTTCCATCTTTTATTTAATGTTTTTGTGTATCTTATCTCTGATTTTAGATAGTTTCTATTTGCTTGTTTACCTGGTGGATTTTCTAGGGTCTTGGTCTTTCTAAAGTTTTTGGGATTAACATTTGGAGTTTATCTTGTGTCTGCATCACAGAACTTTGACTTCTTGTTCTCCTAACCAGGAAGCTAGTGCAGCAATCTCAGGAGCTGGTGTTTATGGGAAACTTAAATTTGAGAGTGGAATTCACAGAGTTCAGGTTTCATTTCTGACTATTTAGCATGCAATATAAGGCTTAAAGCATAACTCACTTGGAGTTTCCTTTTGGCAGCGTGTTCCTCTGACAGAGAAGTCTGGACGTATCCACACTAGTGCTGTATCGGTTGCTATTCTCCCTCAGGCTGATGAGGTGCTTAAAGATATAAATTTGTGTTTCATTCGTGGTTTTTTGTCTGTTTGAAAGATTTTTAGATTTATTTAGTTGGGAGTTTTGTTCAGTGCTTGACCTGCTTATATTAGTTGACATTATACCGTCACAATCTTATGTTTTCTTATTACTAGTTTTTAATTACTATATCCTTTTTTCCTGCTTTGATTGATGTTCATGTTGGGGTTTCTGCAGGTAGATGTCCAATTAAGGAATGAAGATTTGAGAATTGATACTTACAGGTCCGGTGGTTCTGGTGGTCAACATGTAAACACCACCAACAGTGCAGTTAGAGTCACACATTTGCCCACTGGTATTACAGTATCTATACAGGATGAACGATCCCAGCATATGGTAAAGAGTACTCGAATATTGTTGTAGTTTTGGATTTTTTTTGTTTTAAGACCTTTTGCATAGAACTTCGGTTACCCATATTTTGTGATAGTTATTGCCAAGACAGACTTGTTAAGTCTGCAGCCTTTCCTAGTTTTTTCACCATTGTTTGAACATGATCCAACCATGGAAAAAAAGTTTTTCATTTGGAAAGATAATGATGCATGCTTACTTCCCTACTTGCTAATATCAGCTTTTTGTCAATTTCACTGCCCTGTTATGGAATATTTTTAGAAACTACCTTGTTTGTCCTTAGGGAGATACTTTAACATATAGAACTTGACTTTTCAATCTGGAGGTCAGCTTTTGAATCTTGGTATGGGGGAGAGTTATCTCCATTTGTGTTGTTCAAAGCTCAATAGGCTTCCACATGTATTAAAAAAAATTAATCTTGTATAAATGGCTTAGCATTTCTGTATTTACATGATTGCATCCATGAGCACAGTAAGTTCTAGTCTTTGAAACTAACTGATTACTGATATAAATGGCATATTTCCGGTCTCCTAAGTATGTAATATAGGGTTATATGTTAGGTAGGGATCTTAACTTGAAAGCATTGAAATATGAATTTGAATTTTTGCTAAACAGTATCATCCCTCTTATCATCCATGGATATTTGGATATATTTTATCCTGTTTCTTCCCTAACTTTCTTTTTTCTTCGTTTTTGCTTGATATAATAGAACAAAGCCAAAGCACTTAAAGTGCTCTGTGCAAAGCTGTATGAAATGGAGAGGTCTAGAATTCAGATGAGTCGATCTAAACTTAGATCTGAACAGGTATGGGTTACTATGAGATAAAAGTTTAGATTTTTTCTTGCTATTTTGGTCCTTTATTCCAGATGATTGGATGCTGATCGTTTTGATATTAACAGATTGGTAGTGGGGACAGATCTGAGCGCATTCGAACCTATAACTTTCCTCAAGGGCGTGTCACCGATCATCGAGTTGGCATCACTTATCATGCAATAAATGATGTGATTCAGGGAGAGAATTTGGATATCTTTATTGATGCTCTTCTTTTGCAACAGGAAAAGGATGCAATTGCAACCTTCAGTTTTGCCCAATGATCTGTATTAGCGGTCATGATGTCTCGCCAGATGCAGATTTTTTTCATTAATCATCATTTTCTAGCATGAAATGGTCAAGATGTTATGTCATACTCTTTGTTCTCTCGCAATTTTGACCTCAAAAGTATTCTGTTTCTTATTAGTGATGCATATGTTAATAGCGAGGGAGATACCATTGTACTTCCATGACATGTGCTATGGCCTGTTGTATCTTTTACTGATTGTTCGGGAAGCAATTACCAATTTACAATATTGTGTAGACAAATATTTTGAGTTGACATATGTTTTGCTGTCCCTACCAGATTTGTAGCAGATAACCTTGTTAAAGTGTCCGACAGCCTGGTATTGCAAGTTTGCGGCTAATATCTTTTTTTTTTCTTTTCTTGAAAGAGCCGTGAGACTGCTTTCTGAGCATATTGGCTTCCCCGGGCTCTGAAGTCTGGGAACTACAACTACCAAATATGAAGTTCATCTCATCCAATCCTGGTTAGAGAAGCCAGTCATGAAATTGACAAGTTAGTTTTGGGTCAATAGTTGTTCCTCTCCCCTGCTAATCAATGGCTTGATAGCCGTACTTCATTTCAAAGGGTGTGAGATGATGCAGGATTCAAAGGCAAAAAAGGGTTCTTGGAATTTTTGTCAATTAGTGGTCTTTATCGCCATATGAGCCATTTGGTCTAGCTGACCCACCTAGACACCGACCCCTATCTATGCTGGTAAAATGACACTAATCGTGTTGCTTCCGCCCAAGAGAATTGATGGCTCGAGCCACTAAACAGACATAAATCTATTATTGCAATCCTCCAGCTTCTAAAAAACAAAGATGATTAGTTATACTCTTTTTGCTTGTACAAAGGTTTGCTAAGTTTGTATTACAGATTCAGTAATAAAGATTTACTTGTGATTCATCTTGTAAGATTTTTTTTTTTCCTTGCATCTTCTTCTTAAGCTCTTTGTTTCAAAGCTCATATATGCATATCTGAGTTATTTGTTGGCGGTTGTGGCTTGAATTGCCATGTTTGCTAACGTTTTCAGAATAGCACACCGGTTTTAAGCACCAGAAACATGAAAACTTATGAAGAAAATACATGTATTTGTAAAGATAAGTCTTATAATCATGATTTACATATAGATCCTAAGTATGAATCTAGTAATATTAGCATAAGTAGAACTGTAAATGGTTTAATAGATTTAACTTCTTTCTTTCATAAACTTTTTGTAAAAATGGATACTATAGAAGATAAAGTAGATTTGCTTGTTGAAAAGATAGACCAAACATATATTTCTCCAGACATATCTATAGACTTTGGACCTTTTTATTACAGTAATATTATGATGAACGATGAAAAATCTTCATATTCCTTAGCAAAGAAGAAACAAAAAAAACTTGATTTCGACTCTTATAAATATATTATTGAAAATTTTAAGTATAAAATGAAAAAATCTAAAGATTCGCAACAACGGATTGATTATCTTTAAGTTATAGAGACTTTTTATGAAGAACATAAAGGACTATTTATTAAGTATAATTATCATTATATGCTTAACTATGACACAACTAGTGTCTGTGGTGAAGAAGCAAATAATGATTTAGTAGTTGATAACTTTAAAATTCTTACTACTAACCCAGTAGTCAAGGATGAACCAGTTTCATCATATGAAACCACATCGATGACACTGACAGTTCTGAAGATCAACCAGATCCAGAACCAAGTCAAATTCCTATCCCTCAACCAGATGAGCGTGGAAAGAGAAAAACATCTGCAATATCTAACCAGATATTGATGATACTTTAAAATTTCCAAATTTGCTCGATCCAAATATTATGGATCAACATCTTCCTCATCTGAAAGAAAAATATTCTCACCTAAACAAGGATGAGATAAAACAAACATCTGAATCTGGCCAAACAAGTCAGGTTAAGATTGAAACCCCTGTGATCGATTCGTTAAATAAATGGATGGTTTCACAATATGGTACCTATTTGGATCTAACCAAAGTCCCTCTCAAAGACTATGAAAAAACCATAAATGATTGGGCACAATCCATGTCTATTGTTGTTACAAGATACAAAGAGCAGTGGAACAAAGAACGTTTCCTCAACTACTTTTGTGGCACATGGCAAGGTGATGCCTACAATTTTTCAAAAAATGGGAAACTACAACCATTAGAGAATAACAGAAATCAACGTTGTTAGTCGCATGAAATATTCCTCAACTACCGAAAGATTTAACTCAAATCTTAAAAAATAAGTTTTGTGGTAATACAGAATCTCTGGATCCTACACAATAAGCTAATTTATTTTATCAAAACTAAAATTATGTGATATTCAAAATATTGATGATTTTTCTAAAAAATATCTTTCTGAATATCAAAAATTGGATGAAAAACATTCAAAGTTTTGGTTACAACAATATTTTCTTAAGCTTCCTTCACCATGGGATGAATTATGCTCACAAAATTATCCTGTTTATTTAGAGTTAAAACTCAAAACAGTTCATACTGTCAATCCCAGTATAGAACTCTATGATACTCTTGGATGTAGATACATTATGTTCAGACTCAGATCACAGAATACTGCTTTAAGCAAAAAGCTGCTACGCATGTAAAATCCAAACTTTTGTATAAACAATACACAAAGATTTTGGAAAATGAATTTGAATTTGACTGTAACAAACAGTCTTTTTCAAAGAAAAATCGTTTTAAGAAAAAACAAAAATATCTTTGAAAAAAGTGAAAACCCACTACAACTTTTAAGCCTAAAAAAGGTAAATTTGTTGTTAAACAGAAGAAAATTTTTTTTAAACAAAATTGTAAATGTTTTCTTTGTGATCAAGAAGGTCACTATGCAAACAGTTGTCCTAACAAAGGGAAAAGTGCTAAGAAAATGATCAAAAAACTTGATGAACATTTTTTTCAAATTTTTTTTTGCTGATGAATTATCTGACAAAGAGATCTATTATGAAGTTTTTTCTGAAACTGATTATAGTTCTTCTGACGATGAATCTAATTTTATTTTTTACTGAATACTGAATCTAACCAATATAATGTTTCAGTCACATCTTCCATAAGTACAACAACTACCGAAAGAAAATGTATGATTAAACTAAAAAATATTATGAGAAAAACTCATTCTATTTTTGAAGAAAAAATCAAAGAATTACAACTCATCAAACCAAATGAGATTTACAAAACAAGTTGGTTTAAAAAATTTCAACCTTGGTATAAACACCATATAGAAAAACTATCTGGTGATACTGTTGCCAACGATTCTAAATAAGGATCGGTTGAAATTTCTCTTTTTACTAAAAAGAAAATAAACCATTTTCTTATCAAATATCCCAAGGTCAAATACATCCATATAGGTATGGTTTTAATCACCATTAAACCACTATTTTTATCTACAAAAGATATTTCAATAATAGCTGCTTTAATGGATAACCATTTTTAAAATCCTGTTAATGCTATAATTGGTGGAATCCAATCCAATTTAGCAGCATGAGTAGTTTTATTTAAAGTTAAACCAAACTATTTTATATCTATTTTTGATGAAAACATTGAAAAATGTTTATGTCTTTGTGTCAAAATAACCAATTCTGACTTGGAATCCAACTTGCATGATCTTTCAATCAACTAGTCAGCAGTTTATGAATTTACTAATACTGCAAATACTTCTATCAAACCGATAGATTCTAATATCATAGAAATTTTTAAATCAAATAGTTTTGATTCAAAAATTAAACCAAATTTGATTAAAATCGAAGATTTATCTATCCTAAAAAGATGGTGTCTCGAAGATATCTCTCATACTTTGAAAAATAAAAAGTATCAAGTTTAAAATTTTTCTCATCAGAAAAAAATATTTACTTCAAAAATTCACATGCAACCAGTTTTAATCCAAACCTGGTTTTACCCCTACTAATGCTTTTGATTATCAATAAGATAATAATGTAGAGAGTATAACTAGTAATCAATCTTTTTGTACTCCTTATCGAAGTTTTTTTTTTCAAGATTTCAAGGTACAAATAGTACAGAAACCCTACGACGAGTAAACAACATGTGTCATACAAAAAATACAGGTAAAATTCTTATATTTGGAGGAGATAATCCATCTTAGCAAGGTACAGGTAATAACCAATCCTAAAATATTATGTTTTCTTAACATGCATGGAGACATCTTGCTAGGAAATAATTTTATTCATAAATATTTACCATTTTTTGTCTTACCAGATCCTCTTATTTTTACTATTGATAAAAAATCAATAGATGTTCCTTTACTATCCAAGCATAAACATGTCTGTGATAATAGTTTTCACCCAAAAATAACCCATATTTCTGAAATTAAAGCTATAAATGAAAGACATTGGCTTTATAAGATTTTGTAGGAAAACTTCAGTGAACAACCATTGAAGCTCTGAAGCGAAGTCCAAGATACTGTGAACTTACTCTTCATGATCCAAAAGAGATTATCAGAGTAAAACCCATGATCTATACCAAACAAGATATAGATGAATTCAAAATTTAAATTCTAAAATTGCTCGACAAAAGTCTTATAGAACCAACTACCAGTTCGCACTTCAGTCTAACATTTTTGGTAAGAAACCATTCTGAGATTAAACAAGGTAAATCCCGTATGGTTATCAATTATAAGAAATTAAATCAAAATCTTATTTTTGATGGCTATTTTATCCCTCGAAAAGATGTTCTGATAAATTTAGCTCAAAATGCTAAATATTATTCTAAGTTTGATTGTAAATCTAGTTTTTGGCAAATCATGCTTACAGATTTATCCAAATCTTTAACTGCTTTTAGTGCACCAACAGGCCACTATCAATGGACTATTATGCCTTTCGATTTATGTAACACCCCTCAAATTTTTCAGCATTGGATGGATAATATTTTTGGCAAACATAAAAAATTCTATTGTGTTTATATTGATGATATTTTAGTATTTTTCAATACTTTGGATGAGCACAGAAAACATCTAAATATTATTGCTCAATAATTTATTTTACATGGTATTATTTTGAGTCTAAAAAAGGTTAAACTTGAAAAAATAGAGATAGAATTTCTTGGTCTCAAGTTATCTGTAAATGGACTAACATTGCAAGATCATATTATCTTGAAGATCAAGGAATTTCCAAAACAATTGGATGAGGTCAAATAGCTACAATAGCTGTTAGGTATACTCAATCATGGCACGCAATATTTTAAAAATCTTTCTAAAAAAAAAGTTATCTTTTGCATAAATTGAGTAAAGATAATGATTTTGTCTGGACAACAACAGATTTTGATATTGTCAAAAAGATCAAATCAAAGTTAACATATATCCCAAAAGTTTATCTACCTAAACAATGTGACCTATTGATTTTAGATACAGATGTCAGTGATGAACATTAGGGATATGTCGTTAAAGCAAAAAATCTTCATCAAAAAGATGAATTGATTTGTGACTACAATTTCGGTAAATTCAAATCGAATGAAATAAATTATATTATCTTTGAAAAAGAATTATTAGCCATAAAAAATAGTGTACAACGATTTCACATTTATTTAGCCCTTGAGATCTTTGTTATCCGAACAGATAACTAAGCAGTAAGAAACTTTCTAAAAAACAGAAAGCTTTTTGATAATCCCAAGAGAATTAGGTGGTACAATTTTCTTTGTTAATATTATTGACTATCTGAGTCGACCACATGGATTGAGAAAAATAACTTATCCATGATACAAGTGAATGGAAAACCATCAAGAAGAAAACAGATAAAATATCCTCTTCTTCTTCCTCTCCAAAACCTCATGTTTTCTCAAAACCTAACCCAAGATTTAGTTTTTACAATAATTCTAACCAAGGATTATATCTCTACCAACAACCACTATATAGACCTTCTTTTATAAGGATTCAACCAAAATTCTCTCAGTTCGTTCAAGATCCAAATGAATGAACACCCATGAGTTATTCTCAAATAGTTTTCTCAACAAAACAACTGCTTGAAAGAACAAAACTCTCTAACCCAAAGATCAAAGATTTTTATAATCTTGAACTTGAACCACAAGTATACAATCTATTGAACAATGTTTGAAAATCCCATCTCTAAGAAAACAAATTCAACTTTCGAAAAAGGATGACCAAATTAGCTAAATTCTTAGTCAACCAGGCTAAAAATTTTAAAATTTTAAAGAAATAGCTTTCCAAAGCCTTCTATCAACTAATCTGCTAAAATAATAAGATATTGATTTCTTTGCTTTGGAAGAAAATCAGTACAGTATTTAAGAGATAAATAATTTCTTGAATTTATGTGAATATTTCGAAAAAGAAAGTTATAATTCCTCTAAGCTAAACAAGCTTAAGAGAATTCTTCTTTTTGAAAAAGCTGCAGTATTCCTAACCAAGGAATTATTCCAGCAAATTATTTCAGCAAATTAATTCTTCTATTTTACAGTCAACAAAAAAAATTGTTGATAGAAATATTTTTTGATTATTATACTTCTACTTATATGTATAATACTACCCTTGGTGAATTTATACAAAAAATTAAATTTTGACTTGATTACGAAACATTTGATGTAAAAAGTATTGAACTTGGTTTAGTCGGATAAATTACTGTACAAATTTTTTTTTCTTCTTTTAAAAGATTTCTCTGCTTTTATTAAGCATCACTTTTACGGATGTATAAAATAGTCAAAACATTTTCATTACATCTATTTTACTATATACAGTCTTTTTGGTACCTTTCAAAGAGAAAAATTTTATCAACTATATCAAATATGAAAATTTGATAGAGTATCAAGTGGACATTTCCTCTAATCCCTCACTATACTTGATTCGTCAACAGATCATATCGACTTCCCAAATGATTTAAACAAAACCATTACTAAATACTCAAACCCAAACAGCTACCATTTTCAAACAGGAATTGACCTTATGAAAAAAGTAAAATTCTTTCTCCATTTAGCTACAAAACCAGACTACCCTAAAATAGCTTGCTAGACAGATGGCAGACGAATTTTTGTTCTCAGATTTCTTGAACCACATGAAGATTTGGACATTCAAAATGAACCAAAAGCAATCCAGTTACTGAAAAAATTATCCAAAATGAAAGATCTAGATCATCCTACAGAATTATTATACTAGTATCAAGAAGGATGACAAATGTGAAACAAATCACATTCATGATCTCCTCCATCACCTCAGTCTCTTAACGCACTGGACAAAAAATTTCATAATTTAAATAATGTTATGGAAGGATAATATCTGTGCATATTTCAAACCAGAATCCAGAATAAGTTACCGACACAAAATAACAAAGTTCATTCAGCGCTCACGATCAGTAGATATAAAAAATTATAGCAGTCAACTGTAGTGGATAGATAAAACATCATTGTAGCAGTCACTGTAGCAGAAAAGATAAAGACTTACTACTAAAATACTATAGCAAGTCACTGTAGCAAGTACTGTAAATAAAATTTTTACTGTACATTATAACGAAAATTGTACAAAATTATTGTTCATAGGTTAGAATTTTTTCATTTAAAGCTTCATTGTATCCAAGCTTGGAGAGGCCTTTTCTTTTCACTTTCCTTACTTTACTTACAACCATTCTCTTCTCTCTCTCTTATCTACCATCCTTCACTTGTAAATTAATATAATTTAGCTTATCTAAACTTTTATACATAGATCATTTTCTCACCTTCCTGTAAATGATATACTTCTACTTATATGTATAATCCTACCTTTAGTGAATTTATATCAAAAATTAAATTTTAATTTGATCACGAAACATTTGATGTAAAAAGCATTGAACTTGGTTTAATCGAACAAATTATTATACAAAATTTTTTTTTCATCTTTTAAAAGATTTTTTTGCTTTTATTAAGCATCACTTTTACATGTATATAAAATGGTCAAAATATTTTTATTATATCTATTTCACTATATATAATCTTTTGAGTACATTTTAAAGAGAAAAGTTTTATTAACCATATCAAATATGAAAATTTACTAAAGTATCAAATAAATATTTTTTCTAACTTCCACTATACTTGATCCGTCAATAGACTATATCAAATCTACAGTTTACCTTCGAAAACAAATGAAAGCCTGAGACGAAATGACCGGATGAGATTGTTTGATGCGCGGGCCATGGCGTACGATATTACCTTTGTTACTTTTTGGCTGAAATCAATTTGTGGGGCAACAACTTCGGCGTGCAAAATGTTGCCAGTTGTTTCTTGAAAAAAAGTATTCACTATTTCTTATTTCAAAAAAACAAAGAAAAAACTCCACTATTTCTGAATCCTGACCTAGAAAATAAAGTATTTAGATGTATTCGCATGCATTTACGTAACCACTCACACTTGAATACATGACGAAATATTGTAAGGCTATAAGCAGAGCCCTAGGGTATGGTTCAAATCCCATGGGCTCCAAAACTGTCCGGACTGAAGGAGACAGGTTAACACATCAATTCAAAAGCGGCAAACCATACCCTAAGGAACCATAAATGAAAAATAAAGTGTAGGAAAAGTCGCTTTGGCATCAGTTTTCACTGCCTACGATGGTCTCCAATCAGGAAAAACCAGTAAGATAAAAGAAATGTTTTCTTCTGCAATGGAGTCTTTCTACCCATTTAAAAGTCCTTGAAAATGACCCAGATCTGAACTGTAATTGCTTGGAAACTAGGAAAAATCAGGCAAGGTGTGATCTTACCCACAAAAGTCTCTTTCTTTAGTTTCAAGGTAGAAATTTAGAAAAACGTGCAAAAGGTTGATTGGCTTAAGATATAATCATATTAGATTCTTTTCCATGGTTGGTTTTAATTACTTTAAAATTGCATGTAATGATGTATTTCCGTATCAAACAATATTTAGAATCCGATGCCTAGAATTGGAGAAAAGTGGTATTCTACGTATTGCAAGAAATGGTGAGTGTAGTATTTAAGTTTTGTCCGTTTTTGACCTTGGGTTTTCCTGTTTTAGACCAGATGGATTCCTTTATGTTGAGTTTTTTTTACTTATTTTAGTATTTCTCATTGCCCATGGTTAGATCTAGACTAAGGAAAGCCTACCTTGTTGTCTCTGACAAGAAGACTCCCTCAAAAAATCAAACAAAAAGGGAAGATTTGCTGCTCACAACAGATATCTGACACCCCCCAAGGACACAGGGGTGTTAGAATCTGGTCTAGAGAATCAAACAAGTTATCCCCCAAAAAGATTCCTCTCCGGATCTTCTTCTTCGATGAATCCTAGAATGCGAAGCTATTGTTAACTCTTCCTTATTTCCCTCAGAAGAACAATATCAATCAATCAAAGGAAAAAAGAAAGGTTTTTTACAGGTGACATATGGATAACTTTCCAACAGTTTCGTGTGGGTGGAGCTGGGAGGAGAACAAGTTGTTTGAGCTAGCTCTAGCGGTGGTTGATGAGCAACACCCAGATCGTTGGGAAGTGGTTGCAGCCATGGTTGGAGGGCGAAAAAGTGCGGAAGATGTGAAAAAACATTATGTGATACTTTTGGAGGATTTGCAGTTTATTGAGTCCGGTAAACTGGACCATAAACTTGGCGAATCTCAGCCTTCTATTCAAGTCGACTGTACTCAATCTGTATGCTGGACTGATGAAGATAACAAGTACACAATCTTTCTTTTCTGCAAGCTTCTTTTGCGTCTCTTCTATCAATTCTTTATATTCATGAAACCGTCTAATCCATATTGATGATTAATGAGGATCGTTTTACTCATAGCTATAGAGAAGTAAATTAGGATACACGTGCATCTGAGTTTATTGACTCTGGAAACTGCGTCATTTGGTCTGAAAGTTTGGGAATTCTACTGATCAAGGTATTTGGTTTACGCATGCATAGCCATCTGTGCTAATTCCCAGCCCGACCTTGACTTGGCCTTTCATAAGGGATAAGTAGAAGAGTCCTGTGTTGCTATGCCTCCCAATCTATGACTTTTCGTTGTTTCTACTTGCGTTTTTTGTTCTGTTTTTTTCTTTTTGGCCTTTCCTGCATCATAAATTCATAATAGCAACTTTCATAGGAAATTATTTCTCTATTCTATTCAGGATATATTTCTTTTTAGCTAGCAGTGTAAGCCACTAATTAACACAATGACTTGGAATTGAGAATCATCTGTGGTGTTAAGATTGGAAAGTAATACCGACACAATTTTGTTTCAAAGTCTGTTTCTGGTTCTATTATGCTTATGGATGTAGAGTAAACAAATTTTCAGCTTTAGCAACTCTTGGCATGACTCTTTTCATTAGCTGAAAGCCTATAACAAAGTCAAACTTCAAAAGGGTGTTTTTTTTTTTTTCCTTTGTTTTCCTCCCGCTTTTATTTTCTTTTGGACTGTATTTGAGTAACTCCAGTTCATATTTATGTGATTCTAAATCTACAATGAAGAATATTACTATCTTAAGCTTGATAATTGCTATCTTCATTTCCAAGTAGACCATTACTTTAGGCAGATTTAAAGTCCTTTCTAGCATGAGGCCAATCAGATTCTGTAAATATCTGCCTAGTCAACATTGTTATGAACTTTTAGGGTTAAAACAGTGTATTTTTTTATCTCTTGTTTATAGTCTTTTCGCTTGCAGCTTGCTGGTTCGATTGGACATAAATTGATCCTCAGAGCTATTGCTGGTTTATTCAGATTGGTTACCGGTGGGTTTGCCACAACTCACGTCCAACAAAAATGCAGGGCATATCAACAAGGCTGGTTGTTGTATTATTTGTATCAATTCTAATGCTATATCCGTTGTTCCTAGATGTAATCAATCTCTTCATTGTAAAACAGAAATTATCAGGAAGATTTTAACTCTTCAATTTGCAGATAGTAGATATGGGTCTTGGGGCCTTGTTTATTGGAAGTTGACAATGTTAGACTTCTTTTTCTTGTCTCTTTAATGATTGTGATACTAACCTTAAAAGCACTCAAGATTTTCAAATCAAGAAACTTAGAACCATCTCCCGAAGATTTGAAGTCTCTATCTGGGCACAATGTCAGCAACGTCCGAGATCTGACTTTCTGGGCGAACTCTTAAGTTTCAACCACTCATTTTCATTGCTTAATATGAATATGATTCTGCTCTTTGAATAACAAATGTCTTCCAATTTCAAAATCCACATAAGCTAGTTACTTAGAAGCATAATTAAACCAATCTAGCTGTAAATGAACTTGATTTCATTAGTCATAGAAAAAATATCAGTGAATTTGAAGGTAGAAAGACCCACAATTAAAAATGAGAGTATTTTTTAGATTAAATGGGATAAAGAAGATTCGTATCCTGTTCTTTGAGAAATGAATCACGCATCAACCAGTTACCAAATTGAGAGGAAAATATTTTTGTAATTAAGATCGAACTTCCCTTCCGAGCATATAAGGTCCAGCAGAATCTTACAAATTACCAAATTAAGAGGAAAATATTTTTGTAAAAAATAAAATAAAAACGAGCCCTGCTACATCCTTTTAAAGTTCTCGTTAATCTCAATGAAGAAATCTCTTTGTTTCCCAAATGGTTAAATTTTCTGAATGGAAAACTATCCTCATCCTCAGTGTTTACTTTGTCAAAACAACCTGTATCTGAAACCTGGTGCTCATCGGGTAAATTCAGAGCTGGAAGGGCAGCTGTGACAAAACCTGAAATTCTTCCTGTCCTCGATATATATTCAGTCACTTAAAGCAATGCGGAATTACTTGCTTGTATCATCATTTTCCCCCTATCAATGGTGATAGAGGAAGCTAATACAGAGCAAAAGCAATAAATTTCTCAGAAATGGTTGCAGAATCAAAATGCATTTTCCATAATTTAGTAAAACTGCGAAACCTTTCCTCCCAGGAGTTTACCAATTCTGCTCACCTGATTCTGTCAATAACTATTACGAATTATGCTAGTGATTGTTAATGCTCGTTTTATTCCATTTCCATTATGTTAACTACACGTGAAACAGGAATCAACAGAGAATAAGTGCTTAGCTAATTGAAAGAACAGTGAAAAAAACTGGTTGTCAGGTCATTGTTTTCTACATGGAATTAAGAATAGCCTGCTATTATCAACTTAAAATCTACAATATCGAGAGAAATTTCATCTCTCAAGTATAATGATATGATTAGTCCACAGCATATGAAGCAAGAGGAAATACTATATAGGAAAAATATGCTGATGCTAGTTCCATGGTCATTTACTCGCATCACAAAACAATGCACTCACATTCATATCTATACCACTGCCAGTGATCTCATGCCATGTCAACGGATTTATAAAGTAGCTTCACTTGGATTGAAAGAATAGTTTATCTTCAACAAAACAAAAGAGAATGTACAAAAAGGGAGAAAAAGAGCTGTGGCCGTAGGGCCAAAAGTCACCACATTTATCTTAGCTTCCGTGGCTGTCATGAATCTGAATCTATTTTTTTTAGTTAAGGTTGCCAGCATTTGATTTCTTGCACACTACTGGTGGAGAACCTGGATTTAAATTCAATCACTTGCTATTATAATACATGATAGAGAACAATCCCAAAAATAAATAAGATGAATAAAGAGGGAGGAGAAAACGAGCGATGAGGCAGAGCCAGTGAAGAGGCAGTGCATGGGCGGAGCAACAACAGATGTCTGTTGGTGGATCCATCCTTGCGCAGCCTGTTCCCTGTTTTCGTCTGTCTCTCCCTTCTTTCTCACTCTCTCAATGTTGTCTTTTACCTCACGTTGTCTCGGTGTATGTATCTGTCAAGCCCAAAAGAAACCTGGCACTTGAACAACGACCTCAGGCCTCAGGTTCCTATACTTCTTGACAAACTCATAAGCCATAATGCACTTTTCAGCAAACCCAGGAACTTGGTTTGGGTTTGTGCTGTCGTCTGAGCTATTTATGCTACAGAACCAACACAATTACGGTACAACATGTACTAAACAGATTCTGTACTTGCAACTTTGAGTGTCAGCTGAAAATACAAGTTTGTGAGTATTTCTCGTAGGACGAATATGTACTACACTTCATGTGGTAGTACTCTCATATTCTCCATTGATATGGATGCTTTAACAAAAAATTAAAAAATTACTTTTGTTTAGAGAGATTTGAATGATGCTTCTGGCCCAAAAAAAAAAAAAAGGAATTGAATGATGCCATAGACAGCATGTACATGAGAATCTTTGAATGAACGGGTTCAGGTTACAATGTTGCGGATTTCTAATCGTATATATTAAAGATGAAAGTCGATCAAGTATGGTTGCTTCTGGAAGAAGAAATTTGTATTCTACTACTTTCTCTTTCAGGCAGATGTAGCAATGCAACAGATATCTATTGAAAGCAGGAAGTATTGGTTTATTTCAGCAAAAGAGATTGAGGTCTTGGTTTTCAAAACTTGGAAAGAGAGAGTGGGTCGTGAATATCAGTTGAAATGTTGGCTTTCGATCTAAGAAATTGAAAATAACTAAAATGAGGCTGAGCAACCTTAACCACCAAACCAACCAAAATAAGAAAAGTCCGCAATCGTTCTACGAAAGTTAGATGCACATTGTATGATTGGTTAACTAAAAGAATATCTGGAATTCGTACAAGTTTTGGTAATTTTACAGTTTTTTTTTTCTTTTTCCTGCTGAAATTATCTTAGGGAGGCGATCTGGGAGGAGGGATCTAGTCAGAACCTGCAAAAAAAGCTTAGCAGATATGAGCCTTTTGAGCTTATTGAAAGGAAAGGAAGGTATAAAGGAAACCTTAAAAAAGAATCCAAAGTAGTACAAAAAAAAAAAGAAAGGATCCAAGTCATCAATCTCCATCAACATTTTGACAACAGTAAAAAAAAAAGAAAAGTACACCATTCATGAAAATTATAAAGAAGAAAATGGGTTTATCATCAAAAAACATACTTACGATACATAATTTGGTAGATTCTCGTTAGTTAAGTCATAAACATCCAGGGTTGCAGAGCTTCCATGAAAATCCAGCAATTGTTGTTGCAGGTCCATGATTAGAAATCGTGATAAGCGTCTTCATGTTGTGTGGTAGGAAAATTTTAATGGTTAAGGAATCAGGATCATACTTCCACATCCCTGCTACTTCTGTTTTTAGCTCACCAAAATTGCTTTCAGTGTTTATGCTAATTGCACGAGGCCATGAGCATCACCGCCCGTATATGACAAGGAATCATCACTTAGATGTAAACTTTCCATCTGACTGACAGACAGCAATAAGCTTTCCCTTAGCCATGCCTTTGTGTGCAATATAAGAAAAACAGAACCTAAAAGCCCCATTTCGTCTACGTTTAAAAAAAAAAAGTAAAAAACAATTAACATGGTATACTAGGAACTTTTAAGCTAATCCAAAAAAAAAAAAAAATCCACATATCCAGGTCAAAACAAACTCATTTCATTTAGAATTAAGTTATATAAATTAAAAAAAAAAAGCTTGCATGTGTTGATTTTAATGTACAACCCAGTTAACAAGACTGAAATCTATTTCAATTCCCTACCATAAAACACCAACTTGGACAATCTCAGAATTTTCATGTAAAAAAAAGGGAGAAAAAAGCTTTCTTTGTAAAATAAAAGGCGTTCTAATTAAAGTTGAAAAATAAGCAAAAATATTAGTCAAATGAATTCTAATTCTCTCCGTAAATAACGAGGAAAAAACCCTAATTTCAGGATTAAGAGGTTTGGTTACCTTCTGAAAGATTGAAACTAATTTCGTGATCGGTCGTGAATCATTAGAGGTGCATTTGCGATAGGAGTTGACGGGAAGAGAATCTTCATCTTGAAGAAGGTTATGGGAGAATTTTAGGTTTGATTTTTCGGAGCTAAATAGATCTCCTCAATTCACTGACCAGCAAGAGCAGGAGAGATTTTCGTGTATTTGGGGAGGAATGAGTTTGCCAAATGCGACATCGTTTGAGGAAACGTATGGTGCTCAATTATGGGCCTTTTCCGGGCATATTTGAATAATAAGGAGGAATAAATCTGGGTTTTTTTAAGGATATTATCAAATGTTAACTTAGCTGGGCTACGAGTTAAGCCTGGAGTTTGCATTTGAAGGCCCTGGTACCACTTTTTTTTTTTTTTTCTCTTTTAATAAAAGGCGTCGGCATAAGTTAATCAAGCAATTCATGTCCGAGTTTTTAAACTCCACTAATATATTTATATAATTAGTATTTATTGTCATGTCACATTTTAATATTTATTTATTTTTATATTATAATTACATATTGCACATTTGCATTAATATGTAAAATTATTGCATGTTATTTTTTTGGCCAGAAAAGTTATTGCATGTTAAATGAAATTTGTATTAATATGTTATATTTTACATCGGTTTTTATCAAAAGTTTCATTAACATTTGTGTTTATATGTATATTATAAATAAATATAAATATTTAAGATGTTTAATAATTATATTAATTTATTTTTTTTAGTCTCAAATTCAACATTTGTAATGCATCATCTTCATCATAGCATCAATGTGGCTAGATCCCGTGAAGGTTATACAACTGTTTTGTGTGTTTGACAGGATAGATGTGGTATGATTTATATGTTTCACCACATGGTAGGACCACTCAACTTTAAAGATCTAGAACTAGATTCTTTATGGCCAAAAGCTTTAGGCTATGGTCCCGTAAGTACGCGTGAACTTTATTAAAAAGCACCCATAAGTGGAATTAGGAACCACCAAGCTTTTACTATCTTGTCATTTAGTTATAGTGTGGGGGACCTTTGTTTCTATGTCGGGAAATAATTCAGGTTAATTAGTCAATATCGAAACAAAACGAGTACCCAAGATTGAGGTAAACAGGCCAAAACATAATTCCAAATCCTTTTAAATAAGTCAAAGATAGGCAATTAAAAAGGTATTTAATTGAATAAACTTACAGGATTAGAAAAAGCAAGCCCTTCGAGCATGATTAACTCCTATATCCTTACACTCTTTATATAATAGTATCAGAAAATACCCCCTTTTTACCCTGTTTCTTTATTGCTTTTCTTAAGAGGCTAAAAATAATGAAAATAAATAAATAATAAGTGGAAGGTGAAACGCTTGAATGAAGAATCAAGTGAGAATAACATCGAAATCACTAAGGGTCCATTCTGCCACTTCATCTTTGTCACTAACAAAAATTTCTGTACCCACGTCGATAGATGTCCATATTCTTTTAGCTGGAGGGGTATTTGGATCCTGAAATAGAAAAAAAAAAAAAAAAAAAAAGGCCATAAACCGTCAACAATGAATAAAATTATTTGGAGCAGTAACGCGTTCTAACATGAGATATGCAAATTAAACAATAACCTGATAGAAGTAGAGCCTACTGGCTAGGCCACCGGTGTCAAGCACCCAAGTCTTTGGATCCCCAACCCAACCCTGACCCTTTTCAGTTGGGTAGCCATATTCGCCCCAGATCGGGTGAGGCAGCAACTGAACTATTTCTTGTGCTTGAGGATTGCTATAAGGATCACAAGTGCTGACAGGTTCCTCCAAGTGTTTAGCATTGCCAGGAGCACAATAGTAGTGATAAGCCGCATATGGGAAATTGGCAGTGTCATTCCTGTAAATCTTTTTGTTATCTGGAGTAATATGGTATGGTGGGCAGTTGCTCAAACCTGTCGGGCTACACCAATCTTCAATATCTGGGTTGATTATCATCTCACTGTATCTTGTAACGTCTGTGAGTACATCTCCATCACAGGGCTTACCATTGTTCTTCCAGCAGCTGCCGATATCTACCAGGTAGAACTGGCTCTTTGGTCCTCCTCCTTTTTTCACATCCAAAGTGATCCTGACCTTAAAATTAGACTCTGGGAGCTGAAAGTAAACCAATTGGTGCATGTCAAACAAGGGTGCAGTGAAAGGAATCAAAAGATTCAAACATAAAGGCACTTCAAATCATAGTTACAGACGACTATTGTTTTACTAAGAAAACTAATTCACAGTATCAGCAATATGACCTCGTAATATTCAATGAATCTGTTTCATGGCCTGTCAACTCAGTACCAGTTTAACCCATGTCCAGTTAACGCGCAAGAACATGGATTTGGTATGTATTAGTTGTTAAAGTAATCAAGATGTCTGAACTTCTAAAAGAGACGGTAAAGTAAAAAAAATTAATTATTCATGTGTTGACCCAACAACATGTTAGGCCTGATATGAAATTCAGCCGTCATTAATATTGCAGTAACTCAATTTGCCACCCGAATAGTGACATCTTTCACTCACCTACCACAGGACTGGTATTTTCAAGAACCCAGAAAAAAAACATTTTCAACAAATTACAGCACTACCAATCAACCAAGTAAAGCAATACTATTTTCTTCTCAACTTACAGTATTGAGCATTCCTCTTGTTTCATAGTGGTAACCCCCCGAGAATCCTTTGGTTGCATCAGCTCTGAGATATAGCATCAGCCATGGATACTTCTTTGAAGTCTTGAGCTTATGCTTGAAGATCCAACTTCCAGAACCAAGCTTCTTCTCCCAAACCACCTCATAAAAGGAGATATTATCAAGTCCTTGATCAATATCAGCATCCAAATCATAAGTTCCATTGAACCATCCTCTCATTGTACCATCAGCTAAGAGTTGTGTCGGTTGATGATTAAAAGTGGGCTGATTCATGCACCCTTCTCCAAAGCAAGGAAACCTCGTTGTAGTAAACGGAGGTACGAATTTCCCATTTTCAGGACACCAACTGGTCCTTGTGTCTAAGTTGCCATTTTTTAGCATAACCATCCAAAATTGCCATGGATTTGAATTCTCTGAAACTTCACACAAAGAACCTAAATACAGCTCCTTCTCAACTGCATAAAGATCTGGGTTGTGCAAAGCATCTACACTCAAACCTTTGAATGTTTTGCCTATTCCAAGTCTGTTATCAGCCTCTGATACCTTGTGTATCAGAGTTGAATCTGCCCTCATTTACAACAAAGAATCAGAACATCAGATAAATATAAACAATAACGAGTACTAACATGTAAAAAAAATTACAATCATTTGCTAGTTTGAAAGAGAAAGAACAAATTTCATGTATAAATCAAATAACTTGTACTTTACTCGTCCTAGTTTTGATAAAATTATAATAAATTCTATAAAAAATTTATAATTCATTATAAAATTGAGATATCACAAAAGATTTAAATAAACTCGAGAAAGTTAAAAAGTCTCGATTCGCTTTACATTACTTTGAGTGTTCTTTCTAATTATTCTTGTACTTACTTGCAACATCAAAACAATCAGCAGCTCTGGGACTTCCCATGCCAGGAGCTTCATAGGCAACTTCATTGCAAAAGTTCCAAGCTTCAAAAGCCACTCTCAACCCGTCTCTTTTCATTCCTGGATCACCCACTGCTAACACTTCTTTTTCGGCCGTTTTCCTTTCTATCTTTTCAATTCTACCACTAACTCCCCATAGAAGCAAATTTACCCACACAAATATAACAACCAAATTCTTCTCCATAGCTTTTCCCATGGTGCTCTCAGCTCTAGTTCACAAAAGAAAAAAAAAATGTCACTCCTACCGAGTAGTGATTTTTACGTTTAGTGACATCACATATATATAGAGATTCTGAAGTGTGGGGTCTTAGATTGCCTCAGGTTAATGTTGACCATTTCTTTGTTATTTATCGGCGATAAGACTTCAATGTTATCTTTGACTACATCTTAACCCAGTCAATGATCTTTTCGTTAAATTACCTTCTGATTTTTTTCTCAAAAGTAGTTGGATCAGTAGTTTGTTTGGTCCCAGTATACTAGTCACTAATGGGGTCTTAATCAAAAGGCTAACAGCCAAAATAAAACGAAAAAGAAAGTAAAAAAAAATTAAATATGATAATTTATCTAATAAAACTTTCTTGTCAATATTAATGAGAATTAATAGAAACTCATTTTAATCACGAAGACATGTGGTTAGTTTGTTAAAGTAGGATTTCTTTTTATTTCTCCTGCAAGTCTCTGAAACATGTGTCGATTTGGCTTTGCCAGGTCTTGCAGCGTCCATGCAAAAGTGAAAGTAAAACAGAATTACGAATGACATTTGTAGGTAACGTATATGGTCAACCTGAAATGTTAGCTTTTAACATCGAATGATCAAATTTGAGAATTAATTTTTTTTTCTTCTAATTAAATTGCACTGTCAGACCTACACCAACTGTGTAGAAGAAAGTTGAATACTACATTATTATTTTTCCAGTCCACATATATCCCGAAGAAAAGAAAAACAAAATATTTTTGATATAATAACTAATTTTTTATTGAAAAATCAATCGAACACTTAACCATAAAAAATTATAATAAATAATATTTATAAATAAAAATTATAATTTAAATTATATTTATATTTATAACCAAAAATATAAATAAAAAAGATAATTATTACTAGTTGTAAAATAAATCTTATCTTTTTCTTAACTGTACATATTACATACGAAACATGATAGGGATAAATAATCATCTTATCCGACTCCTAATATTGCATTACCAATTAATATAAGATAAGATGATTTATGTCATTTAACTAAATTTTCCCACATTTTTAGTTCCTTATCTTTTTTTTTTTTTAATTTTCTTTGGTTCCTTATCCTATTTTTATTCTATCCTTTCCACCCCACTCAAAACTTCTAGTTCTATGTGATGCAGCAATTTAGACATTTGCTCACCCTTTCCAAATTGAGTTATTGACACAGCCAAAGCATGCGATACAGAGGCAGGCTACATAAATAAGTGCATCACTAGAATATCCGGTAAAAAATATTAATTAAAGGATACTGAATATAATAATGATAGTTACGCGACATCTTTTTCTTTCTTCTTTTTTTTTCTGCTTCTGGAAGAGTGTCAGTATCTGCATACATATATAAGATAGTTTTTTTTTTTTTTTTAAAGCCAATGTTACAAGGGACAAAGACCAAAGGCCTGAATGAAAAAATTGCGGTGACATCAGAAATGAAAATGACCGTTCCTCCAAATGTAGCGGCCTGAGTATTAACTTGTTAACAGTCTCCATTTCATTTACTTTGTTCATCTTGTACATGAACCAATTAAAGATTTTGTTTCGATAAATCATGAGATTAGTTTTAATAAGGTTAAAAATAATGAAAAAAATAAAATTAATTATTATAAAAATAAAATTAATTATTATAATGATGACTTTAAAATTAGTAATAAAAATATATATTTAAATATAAATACGATGGTAGTTAAGTAAATTAGAAGTATTCATTTGATCAGTTCAATTAATTTCTAATCGAATTATTTAAAATTGAATTAATCAAATTACATTATTTTATTTTCATTAACTGAATTAAATTTATAAATTTTAAAAATTAATCGATTGAATTTAATTTGATCGGTTCGATTAATTTTTTTGATTAACCAAATAATAAATGCATTTAAGTTAAACTATATTTTAAATTCTTAATTTATCATATTTTAAATAAACTAAACAAAATTATTTAATAAAATATTTAAATATTAAAGTATTATGTTAAAAATTCTAACAAGTTATAAAATTAAATGATCCATTTAATGTATTTTTCATTTAATATTTAGATTATATTATATTTTGGTTAAAACTTTGGTTAATTCGGTTTTGAAACCAAATTAACCGAAAACCAAAATTTTTTAAAAATTATTTTTATTAATTGACTCAAATTAATTTGATAACTGATTGATTAATTAAATTAAATTGGTTCGATCGGTTAATTTAGTTAAAACCGAATTATGAACACCTCTAAAATGAATTACAATGAGAAAAAAATGATTATTAAAAATATTATATTAAAATTTATATATAATAAAAAATTTAAATTATAGAATAATAATATTTTTATTTTTAATATAACAATAAATAATAATATTTTATTATATAATAATAAAATTTATTTTCATATAAATTAAAAAATATTTTATAATTTCTTAAATTAAGAAGATAAAACAATACTGATATACGAGAGCACTAAATATAACAATAAAAAAAAATACCCCCAATTGATCACCGAAGGATTCCTTCTTCACTTGGCCATTGAAGATGCGGGTCGATAAAATACTCCAACTCTACTAAATCGAAAGAAAGCTAAACGAATGCCCGATATGATTGAAGAAAAAAATGACTCCGATCTTGCTGCACTGACCCTATTGTGACTTCCAAATAAAGCCTAAAAAGAAAAGTTCCTTATTAATGCTAAGGGGTTAAAACTAGCTAGTTAGGGCAAGAAACCATATATATATATATATATATATATATGTGTGTGTGTGTGTGTATTTATAAAATCAACGAATGAATGTTTGTTTTATTTATTTAATTTACGAGGTATGAAGTGGAGGTGGAAATCTGTTGGTTTGGGGAGATATGACTTTGTATTCTAGCAAAATATTAAGTTTCCAACGACTCACCAAACTGCTCCACTCTTTTTCTTTTTCCTATTTTGTACGCCAAATGATTGATATATAACTATATATTGTTGCTGTGATGGTGGCCATGAGCACGGCTAATGGCTTTCATACTCACCTGTGTCACATGGTTCTGAAATGAAATTCGACTGGTAGAATGAAAAAAATATGAGCAAATCCTTGTCTTTCGGTCAACGAAGTATATGTATTCTAAGTTGAAAGAATTTCTTTCTTACCAAATCATAACTAGGGGCCTTATCTTCCTAGCAAGTTTCAACTACTAGGATATAATAATGATTCTACAATCCTATATATTATTCCTCCCTTCTCTGGTTACAAACATTTTCTTTCTTAGAAAATTACAACTAGAGGTATTATTTTCCTACCAAGTTACTATTTCAAGGATATAATAATTCTAATCCCCACATATTCAAACATTTGCTTGATAATCAGGATTGACCAACATTTCATCTATAATTTTTTTAATTATAATTCTAAAATTATTTAATTACAACAAGAATTTATCATTTATATATGTAATCTTCATAAAAATTTTGATAAATTTTATATAATTTTAAATTATAATTAATTAATTATAGTGTAATGATTACAAATGATAGACAATATAATAATTCTAGTCACGTTGGTGGCAATCAAGCATCATTCATATATATATATATATATATATATATATATATATATTGGCAGCACGCAAAAACCCTAGTGGAACACTTGGCGATCAGGTTTCTTGCAGAAGGTAATATCAGCTCAACCCATCATTTAATTGAACAAAGTATTCATAAATCTACGTTATTACGAAAGTTAAACAATAAAGAGAATGCATATTATGGGTCCCTCAATTTCTCCAAGATATTTATAGCAAGATCTGCGGCCTTTAGCAGTAATACAAGCAAGAGTTATTTTAAGTTTCAAAACATAAGCAGGCCCGGATCAATATTAGTCCTATATACAAGCACTTAAGTATACATTCACTTTTAAAGCCTTAATGCATAATTTTTCCACAAAAATTGTTAATTTATCTGCAGCTAAATGAAGAAAGCAAGGTAAAAGGGAAACATCATTTAGGAATATATTTATTTTTCATTGTATTTTGTAGTCTTGGATAATGAATACATTGACAGCAAAGATTTATAGTTCAAATATTAATGAGATCAGAAACATCTCGTTACCCTTTCTCTCTTTGCTAATTCCATTTGCTTTTGACATCACGGCAGCTTGAGAAAGTATATAATTGAAATTTTCTAACATGAATGAATATACAATTTTCCATGCAAAGCCCATTTCCAAGAATGAAAAGATGACTCTACAATCTCTAGCCAAAAGAATATAATTAACCTTGTCTGCTCAATATCAGATGCGGTTTTCTAAGAGATCGGGAAGGGTTATTTTTCCTGAGTTGTTTAGGTCAAGTTTGCTGAACTGATCGCAGATCTGCAATATATCTTTCTCCCCAATCTTTCCCATCTCTTTGAGCTTGTAGATGACATACTCTGATTTGCTGCCACGAGAATTTTCAAGGGGAAAAAGAAAAGATGTCATTACTAGGAGAAGAACCACAAACAAGCCCCCATTAGTCAGCTAGCAGAGTAAACTTATACACTAAGTTTCATATGCAGAATGCTCTAAAGATGGAAATATATTGGGGGCCTAAACAGTGCATATTGATGGCATGAATTTGTAACTGAATAGGTCCATCCATAATATATGATCTAAATTTCTAAACTCATTGTTCAGTTGAAGAAAGTATTGATAACATCTATTTGATTCATGAAATTAACTAATAAACAAAATGAGTATTATGAATCCATCACCCTCTCTAGGCATTACCCTTAAGATCTCTGTCCTTTGATAGCAACAGAATCTAGAGCCTATGCTTGTTCTTTCTTCAAATTAAAATACAATAGCTATTAATCATTTGGTGTTAACCATCCGATTCCTTTATGAAATATCGCCTGTTTAAATACTGGCCTAGATTTCCTATTCAAGCAACTAAAACAATTAAAGCCTACATTAAATGAAAACCTAAGTGCTTATGTGATTGCAAAACAGAGAGTAATAGACATCGTCATAAATTCATACACAAGCCCTGCAATTTCAAACTAAGATAATTCCAATAACAAGCAACACGTCAAGTTCATACCAAAATAAGCTAGAAAGATTGAAATCCAACCTGATAAAACCATTGTTATTGATGTCAGCAGCTAGCAAATCCTCAATGGTGATATCCCTATGCAACACCCACTTGGCAATCCTCCTATGCCTCTTGTCAACCCTTGCTTCTGCCAAATACAAAAATGCTCTAGCCACAGCCAGCGTCGATATCAGAAGCCAAACACCAGCAAACAACCTTCCAGGCAAAGTTTTAAACGCCCTATCCCCATACCCAACTGTAGTAACTGACATAACAGACAAGTAAACAGAATCAATCCAGTCCAAGTTCTCCACAAAGTACAACATCAAAGTTCCAATTCCAATACACAACACGACAACCCCAAGTGCCAGACCAACTTTAAGTCTTATCCTCATCCTTCCTTTATCCACATCAACAATGTAATTCTTAGCTGAAAACCCTTCTTGTGTTTTCTCCATCTGAATCCCAGTTAAAATCATGTTCTCTTGCAAATCAAGAACATAATTGACAACCCCACTCAACAATATATCTATAAAACCAAAACCTACCAATACAAAAACACAAGCAAAAATCTTGGTAGCTGGGGTCAAAGGAGCTATATCACCATAACCAATGGTACACATGGTGACTATACAGAAGTAAAGAGCATCAACAACTGGGTGAGTCTCAATACCCGAGAATTCATCTCTGTTAAAGGAATAAATAGCAACACCAAGTAATAAGTAAATGGATAGCAAGAAAACAGCTTGCCTGATAATGATGCTGGACTCAGATTGAGGCTTAGGCGCTTGAGGTGTTTTAGGCTTCAGGTCACGCATGACAGCCATGGCTGGAGCTGTTTTACATCGGTGAAGAGATCCGGGCTTCTTTAACCGGTTAATAGGATATTCGAGACGGGAAGGGGGTTGACTTTGTTGGTGGTCTTGAATTTCAGATGGGAAGACGGCTGGTGTTGAGATTGATTGTGGTGCTGTGAAATAGAAGCCATGATAGTCGTCTTCGAGGATGGGTCGAAGTTGGGGTTTTGTTTGAGGAGAGAGAAAAGGCTCATCTGCCATCTGAGAAAAAAAAGAAAGCCTTTTGGCCAAGGAGAGAGCTTTGAGATTGTGATAGTTGTTGAGTGGTTGGTTTCAACTTTCAAGTGTGGGGTTGTTTTGTTTCCGGTCATACGCTAACCTATCACAGGGTCATCCATTAATCCTAGGTTAGTGGAACCCATTTATGCCAATTGGGACAGATTGCTTGGAGAAACTAGGCAGTGGCTCACTACCTTTGCCTTCTCTTTGCAACTAAACATTGTTTGGCGGCAACTTGGTTTAGAAAAATCAATTAAAATTACTATACTAGAAATACACTAGAATACTGAGATTCAAATCTGTAATTTGTCCTATTATTGTAAAAATTAATTGATACGCATCATACTTTGCATATTAAAAGACCACCTAACATCTAGAATAATATATTATACACGCAACATCTGTTGGGCAAACTTATGTTGTTTCATTGTCAAATTGTAACTTCAAAGCCAAGAAGAAGTTTCGTCTAGTATTGAAATGCAGATATTCAGTACCTCGTTTTATGTATAAAAGGATGTCATGTCCCAAATGTTGCAGCAGGGCAATGATCATTCGCCTGGCCTTGATTTCTTAGGTATATTTCTTCCCAATGGCTCTCTCTGTGATCAGATCAAGGCGAAGCCTAGTAAATCCATCTCAGAAAACACCATCTGGCAAGCTTGAGTTATCATACATTGATAAAGTAACGGTTCTCAGATGCTATACTCGCACATTGCACGTCTATAGACATGACCCTGAAGCATCAAAAGTCATTAGAGAAGCCTTGTCAAAGGCCTTGGTACCCTATTACCCCCTTGCCGGACGGTAAAAAGAGTCCGGCAAAAATCAGCTCCAGGTTGAATGTTCTAGAGAAGGCATGTGGTTCGTTGAGGCATCAGTTGATTGTACCCTTGATGCCTTCAATTATTTCGATAATCCTTTGTCCACTCCTTTTATGAACTTCTTCCTGATCAAGTTCCGAAAATTTGAGGCATGGAACCTCTTGTACAAATGCAGGTATATTATTAGTTGTGTAAAACCAAAATTGAATTCAACCAACAATACTAATAATGTAATGAAGCCTTAAGAAACGTTTTGGTGGAATGCATGGTTTTTGTTTCAGGTGACACAATTTGCATGTGGTGGTTTTGCCATAGGCCTAATATTTTCCCACACCATATGTGATGGCCTAGTGTCATGAGCCAACCTTGTATAAGGCCATGACCGGGACTTAGGTTGCCATGAGCCACCCATGTATAGGGCCATGGCCGGGTAGACCCCTTGTGTTAGGAAAAGTGTCCCCATTTCAAACATTGTAACGGTTACTGGTAGTATAGCTCTAAAATCTCTAAGGCTCTTTAGGGGGGGTGAGCCGGCAGAGTATTGTTAGACTGTCTCACCGGGTGCTATGCGAGCTTAGGCCACCCACCATGGGCTGCCCCCCTGGCCCTGGTGATGGTGGGAGGTCCCGATGTATGATCCCCGATTTTAATGAAATTCGCCTCGATTGAATGCCCGATTGTTGCCTCGATGTGTTTCTTTTCTTTCTCGATGTGAATGTGCCTTGTTGTGTGTATGGATGAGATTGATATTGATATATTGTGCCTTATTGTGAATGCTTGAGACTAACCATGGTTTATGGTTATTTGTTCAGATCTCGATCTATTGAGGGCTGACTTGGGTGGAAGTGTCCATTCAAGTGCCACGCGGGCTAGTGCTTCTTGAGAGAAAGCTTAGTCCGTGACACGTGGTATCAGAGCACGGTTGAGAAGTGCTAGAGAAATGGATGAGATGGCCACAAGTGGTGGACCGGATCATCAGCAGAGAATTGAGGAACTTGAGGCCGCGGTGGCCGCAATGAAAACTCATATGGTGACAAAAGATCGAGTGAGGGAGATCGAGATAACCCAGCGGGAGTTGTCCGATACTCTCCACAATGTGAGCGAAGAGGCTAGAGATGCCTTGAACATTCTCCACAAGGAGTTTGAGGAGCTCAGGGCCCAGATGAGCATCCTACAAATGGCAGTGGCCAGTTCGGGTTCGAGCTCGACGGACAGGGGACAAAGGCCCAAAGTGCCGGAGCCTCGATGCTATGAGGGGGCGAGGGATGCTAAGGAACTTGAGAATTTCCTGTTCGACATGGAACAATACTTTCGAGCTGTACACACAAGTTCAGAGGAAGACAAGGTGACAATGGCATCGATGTACCTCGTAGGGGATGCCAAGTTGTGGTGGCGCTCCAAGTTTGTCGATGACGAGTGCCCGATTAAGACTTGGACGGATCTGAAGCGTGAACTGAAAAACCAGTTTTTTTTCGGAGAATGTGGATTATATGGCTCGAAAGAGACTTCGAGAGTTGGTGCAAACCGGAACGGTGCGAGAGTTCGTGAGAAACTTTTCTACCCTGATGCTGGATATTAGGGACATGTCCGAAAAGGACAAGTTATTCCATTTTATTGAGGGCCTCAAGCCGTGGGCGAGGATAGAGCTACAGAGGCAAAGAGTGCAAGATGTGACGACGGCCATGGCTGCAGCGGAACGTCTTCATGATTTTAATGATGGTTCGTTAAAACGGAAGAACCTTCCACCAACTGGCAGTAGCTCTAATCTTGGGAGTGGGGGAAAGATAACTAGGTTGGACCGACCCTTCAGTTGGGGATCAGACAGGAGGTCCTTTGGGCGAGATAGCACCCAGCCTAGGATAAACAACGCAGGAATTTTCAAGCCTAGGCAACCGTTTGCTTGCTTTCTTTGCAAGGGGCCGCATCGAGTGGCTGAGTGCCCGCACCGAGGAGCCCTTAATGCCTTAAGGACCTCATCCCAAGAGTCTGCAAAAGCACCCGAGAGCGTTAAAGAAGCTGAAGAGGAGCCAGCCAGGATGGGCTCAATAAGGTTCCTCAGTGCCCTTCGCACCCAATTGAACACTATAAAGAAAGAGCAAAGCAGAGGCTTGATGTACGTGAACTTGACGATCAATGGGAAAGCCACCAAGGCCATGGTGGATACAGGTGCAACCGACACTTTCATCACACCAGAAGAAGCAAAAAGGTGTGGTCTTTAGATTAGTAAAGACTGTGGGCGAATGAAGGCGGTCAATTCGCCAGCCTTTGCAATCAGTGGAAGCTCGAAAAGTGTGACAACCCAATTGGGGCCATGGGAAGGGAAGGTAGACTTCACAGTCTCCCCCATGGATGACTTTGATGTCGTTCTAGGATTGTACTTCATGACGTTGGCTCAGGTGATCCCTATCCCTGCTGCTAGCTGCTTGTTGTTTTTAGGAGAACACCCATGTGTGGTGCCAGCCAATATCTTGCCAAAGAGTGGGAAGAAAATGATTTCGGCTTTGTAATTCAAGAAAGGGGTAAAGAGAGGGGAACCCTCTTTTGTGGCCATGCCGATCTACAAAGAAGGGCCGAAAGTAGAACCAATACCCAATGGCGTGAAGAAAGTGTTAGAAGAATTCATAGAGGTGATGCCAGAGATGTTGCCCAAGGTTCTACCCCCTCGACGAGCAGTGGACCACGAAATTGAGCTCCTCCCAGGGGCAAAACCCCCTGCTAGAGCTCCCTATCGCATGGTCCCGCCAGAGTTGGTCGAGCTGAGAAAACAGTTGGATGAGCTTCTACAAGCCGGGTTCATCCGACCATCAAAGGCTCCTTTCGGAGCGCCAGTGCTATTCCAGAAAAAACATGATGGGAGCTTGCGCTTATGTGTCGACTACAGGGCTTTGAACAAAGTCACCGTAAGAAACAAATATCCTATCCCGCTCATAGCAGACTTGTTTGATCAATTGAGCGGGGCCAAGTACTTCTCCAAACTGGACCTGAGATCGGGATACCATCAGGTCAAAATCCTCGAGGGAGATGAGCCGAAGACCACTTGTGTAACACGGTATGGTGCATTTGAATTCCTTTTTATGCCTTTTGGACTAACCAATGCTCCTGCCACATTTTGTACATTGATGAATCAGGTGTTTCATGACTACCTAGACAAGTTTGTAGTCATTTATTTAGACGATATAGTGGTATATAGCTCCACGTTGGAAGAACATCAAGAATACCTGCGCCAGGTATTTCAAAGGTTACAGGACCACCAGTTATATGTAAAAAGGGAGAAGTGTGCATTCGCTCAGACCCAAATCCATTTTCTCGGTCACATTGTCGAACGTGGCCACATCCGAATGGACATGAAAAAGTCAGGGCCATCAAAGAGTGGACGATACCGAAGAATGTTAGTGAGCTCCGCTCTATTTTGGGACTAGCCAACTATTATAGAAGGTTTGTGGAAGGGTACTCTCGTAAGACCACGGCCCTCACGGAGCTACTGAAGAAGGAACATAAATGGTGTTGGACGAACGAGTGCCAAGAGGCCTTTGAGGGATTGAAGGATGCTATTATGAAGGATCCCATCTTAGCTATCCCTGATATTGGAAAGCTTTTTGAAGTCCAGACGGATGCATCAGATTTTGCTATTGGAGGTGTGCTTTTACAACAACATCACTCGGTAGCATTCGAAAGTAGGAAGCTGAGTGAAGCTGAAAGGAAATACACAGCCCAGGAGAAAGAGCTCCTTGCGGTGATTCATTGCTTGAGGACTTGGCGGCATTACTTGTTGGGTGCGCACTTTGTCGTGAAGACAGACAACACAGCCGTTAGCCACTTCCTCACCCAATCAAGACTCACGACGAAACAAGCTAGGTGGCAGGAATTTTTAGCTGAGTTCGACTTTTGTTTTGAGCATACCGCGGGAAAGACTAATCAAGTGGCGGATGCCTTGAGCAGGCGGCCAGAGTTAGCGGCCCTCAGAAGAATGGCCCCAATGGTGGCTAGCAGAGCCACTACAGACATCCATAAGTTGATTGGAGATCATTTAGGGAAAGACCCGCAAGCCTGTGCCATTTTGAAGCCAGTGGAAGAAGGGAAGTCGAAACATTTCTGGAAAGAAAATGGGGTCTTGTGGACCAAGGGACCTCGAGTCTTTATGCCAAGAGCAGAAGGTCTGAGACAGATGCTGATGAGGGAGTGTCATGACACCCCATGGGCGGGACATCCGGGCTGGCAGCGCACGTTGGCGTTATTGAAACAAGGATATTATTGGCCTCAAATGCGACAAGATGTGATGGAATATACGAAGACTTACCTCATTTGCCAACAAGACAAAGTCGAGAAGAGAAAACCTGCAGGTATGCTTGAACCTTTATCGGTACCTACCAAACCGTGGGAAAGCATCTCCCTCGATTTC